AAGTTGCGGTCGACAGGACGTGAAATAGTACACTGGCATGTGGAATCGCACTGTGAGTTTCACATTTCAGGTCAGCCGACTTGGACTCTGCAGGGTTCCTGATCTTTTCAACATACTGAACATATATTCGATGCAGTGGTCGTTCAGAGAGCCTCTCCCTGAAAAACTTAGTTTGGGCCGATTTGGTATTATTATTATTATTATTATTATTAGTAGTAGTAGTAGTAGTAGTACTCTTATACCGGGATATACCGTACAAAGAATAAGTCGGACGTAGTGGTAGTAGTAGTAGTAGTAGTAGTAGTAGTAGTAGTAGTAGTACCGTTTTACCGGGATATACCGTACAAAGAATACGTCGGACGCATCCAAATCTGTTTATTTCATACATTCGTTCAGAACATAATATATTAAACAATAATCACCGCGTACTTTCTCAAACGTAAAATTATTTTAGTGCTTTCATTGCCATGCAATAGTAAGTATTATTTTATCGCATTACACAGTATCAGGGTCACAGTCAATATGAATGTAAATCATACCTTGACCATGGTTTTACGCCGCTTTTAGCAACATTACAGCAATAACACGGCGGAGGGTACCAGATATGTCTTTACACATTGTACCCGTGTCGGGAATCGAACCCGGGTCTTTGGCTTGACGAGCGAACGCTTTGACCACCAGGCTACCCGACCGCCCAGGCAACAATTTGAGGACGTAACTGAGCAGTTAAGCAAAACCCTACAAAGAGTGCAAATTTCCTTGATGTGAGTGTAGAAAACAGGACAGCCCGTTCCTGTTCGACGTCTGATGGCAATTCCTGCTCAGACCGTCTGAAAACATGTTTTTTGTTTGTTGTTCTTTAACGCCTCACTCATCAATTTGCCAGCTATTGGACGGCGGTCTGCAAATAATCGAATCGTGACAAGACAATACTGTGGTAGACATAATGAGCATCGATCCACGCAAGTGGGAAAGGGTAAAACCACGTCAGCGAATATGACCACCTGATCCCATTAGTCGCCTCTGCAGACAAGCATGTGTTGCTGAAGATCAATTCTAAGCCGGATCTTCAGGTGGAGGGGGGGGGGGGGGGGGGGGGGTTCTAAGGCGCCACAGATCACTGGTGGGTCGTTACTGCTGGATCGTCACACTGTAGCTCATCTGGGGGATCACAACATCTACATATATGTGTGTATACATATATATCATATTCCTCCTGAATTTAGAAATGTTAAGTTTGTAACTTAAACCATATGGAATACGAATATCACTTTTTGTTAATTTGTCCAGCTTATAGACATCTAATAGCAAAGTTACATAATATCTAAATTTTACATCTTTCCAAATATTCTGAAGTTTAATACACCACTGTCATCACAAGACCCTATTGTCAATATGAATACAGCAAAATACCTGTTTGACGCCAATGCTGTAAGAACACAAATACTCCAACTTTGATAATATTCAATTATGTTAAAACTGCTTTTGTTAAAAATAGCAAAGACATGTGTTATATTTTTACTGTTTGCACCTAAATTGTATTTCGGGTGTTCAAATCGGCCCGTGGCCTACAATAACTGAATAAAGTTGGTTTGTTGGTTTGTTGTTTAACGCCGCACTCAGCAATATTCCAGCTATATGACGGCGGTCTGTAAATAATCGAGTCTGGACAAGACAATCCAGTGATTGATATCATGAGCATCGATATACGCAATTGGGATCGATGACATGCATCAACCAAGTCAGCAAGCCTGACCACCCGATCCCGTTAGTCGCCTCTTACGACAAGCATAGTCACCTTTTACGGCAAGCATGGGTTGCTGGAGACCTATTCTACACCGGAATCTTCACGGGTCCTGAATAAAGTGAAGAAGAAGATCATATTTACAAAAAGAAGAGGAATCAAAGAAGCAAGAAGAGGAAGAGAAGACATTTATAGGGAGATAGTTCTATGGATATACTGCTTCATTTTTGCAATGAATGCAACGTTTTGGTGTAGACACTAACACCGTTGTGAAGCAAGTGATGTTCAGAATGTGAAGTAGAAAGGTTGTGTACATGGGGATAAATGATGATTATTACTTGCCCGTGAAGAGATCACCCGTTTAATAAACATACAGCTGTATTAAACATTGTGTAATACCAACACGCGTGCTTATGTACCCTCGGAACACGTTTTACGAACAAATATTGAAAGCTCGCGACATCCCTTGGCTTAATCAACGACATTGCGGGTAGAGATGATAGATCACTGAGAGGAGCTTATGCACACTCGATTACCCCAGCAACCTTGTTGCTAGGCTGACGTCACATGGCATTGTTTCGCTGATCGGTCTTGCAACAAAATTCCAAAATTACGTCATCGGGAACTGTGACGTGATTATAAACTTTGAGGTGCAAGGCCCCGTTTCACAAGGCGATCGCACTGTAGCGCAACGACAGTCGTTGGTCTAAGTTAAAGTATGTGACTTGCGATAACCTTACCGCTACGATAGTTTTCGGTAATCGCGTATAATACCGCTTTCGCTCGTCAGATACCACAACTATTCACTCGTTGCATAAAATTGGTATTACACGGGAGCTCGTTTAGTATTCTATATTATACGCGATTAAATGATGATAGATGGGTTTATACAACAGATAAGGTTGAAGTAAGAAGTCTGATAATGTACATATTAGAACAAATGGGATTGACAGTAACAAACAAACAGTGGCTGGTACGGACAAGTGGATTGGAAGCCAGTATCAAGATGACAATGATTAAGTCTTTGAAAGGCATTTAGAAGTGATACACATAAGGAAGAGAATTTATGGATGTCAACGTCCTTATTATGAGGAACACAACGTTTCGGAGTATAGGCTTACTCCTTCATCAGAAGTTGACATCAATAAATTTTCTTCCGTATGAGAAGGATTAACATAAAAAGATTACAATGGACAATGGAAATGAGATATAGATTGTTTAGTGATGAGCTCGTGGTAGGCCGTTTGGATGAAGTGTATCCATAGAACTCCTGGGGCACGGGTGGCCCAGTCGTCTAAAGCGCCGCGATTCCCTGTGCAGAGTTGCGTCCCTTGGGCATGCCAGAAACCTTTGATTGTGGGTACGAATCCCGGTTCGCCCCGATTATGTTTCTAGGTTTGTCAGCACCATACCCGTGCTCGTGGGTTTCACCAAAGTGGTAAACGTCTAAGACCTGCATCACTTCGGGCTTTCCTCCCACATTAAGCTGACACGCCGCGAAATAACTGGAATACTGTTAAAAGCGGCGTTAAACCCAACTCACTTACTCACTCATAGAACTCCATTGTTGATTATACCAACCTTGAATGCCACTTGAAGTAGTTAGACATTTAAAGATTGAAAATGATGTATTAATCTGACAATAGATTTGAGCTATGTCCAGCTAAATCACCAGTTTAGCACGTTCAATGACCAGCAACAGTTTGTATAGGATTGCAATGTTTTTTCAGCAAAACTGCAACGACTTGCAAGATTCTACCGGGCAATTTTGACCTTGTAACATGGTTCAACATATTTTACGTATGCTTCAATTAGTCATGAGGTTATAAAGATGGCGGTTACGTTCCTGGTGTGAGTGAGTGAGTGCGGTTCTACGCCGCTTTTAGCAATATTCACACATTGTACCCATGTCGGGAATCGAACCCGGGTCTACCCCACCGCCCCTCGTTCCTGGAGTAGACGGTGTGTGTGTGTGTGTGTGTGTGTGTGTGTGTGTGTGTGTGTGTGTGTGTGTGTGTGTGTGTGTGTGTGTTTGCAGCTATACATGTGCGATACATAGAGTATAATTCCCTGTTATATATTCCGAATGGTATATTGTTATTATATACTAACGGAAAAAAGGTAACTGTGCTTCATAGGAAGTTGTGTAAATATGATGACTTATCAATCTAGTATTATCTCGCACTCCTTCATACCAGCTGATGCATGTCTCGTCCTGCCCTTTCTCCGCCGAACGGGTGAAAGCAGCCCCAGCCCCCCCCCCCCCCCCCCCCCCCCCCCCCGCCTGTCGCAGCGCTTTTGCCATTTAGTCGAGAGCCAGGTGGTTGCCCTCCCCCGTCTTCCCGAGTCAAGTGCGTCACAGACCTTGTTATCAACCTTCCACCCTTGCGACATCAAGTCCACTTTCATGTGCAGAATATGATTGGACTATTGCACATATTGATCGTCCAATCAGTGAACGTTTCACAAAATCAACATCCACGACACCTCAGCATGAAAGTGATTTACCACTGCCTGTCTTTGTTCACACAAAAATGTCTTTTTCCTCTTTTAACAAAAAATAGATACACTTACGGCTATATTATAATAACGGTAACCACTTCTCAACGTGTTGGACCAAAGGCAGCTTGGCATTACAAACTGATTGTACTTCATGTGTATTAACAAATTACGTCACACTGGAACATTTTTATTTACATCTTTTATTTGAAATATAAATCGCCGACCTTTTGTAATCATTCTGGGTCTTTCGGTATTACCTAAAAAGAACAGAATGTACGAGGGCTGGTCAAAAGTTCTAAGCCTGACTAACTTGCAACAATGGGATATGACAAAGTGAACTAGTCAATGTAGTTCCTTGTTTGAGTGGTTCATTGCAAGTGTATTTGGTCTGTTGAGGCCGTTTGTATATAAGTTAAAGCCAGTGGAACGTGATAGGGGTCCAAATGGACACAAGTACCGATCAGTCATTCCAATGGAATTAGTGTTTTACCTACTCACAAGATTTGAAAATGAAGTAAAAAAACATGATTTTTACCAATGTTTCCACTGAGAATTAGAATAACAGTTAAATGAAACAAAATGTTTGCCAAATTCAGATAACCGAACATATTACCTGTAATCAAAGACATAATTTGGATAGTTTAATGACTTAATAAAAATGTTACACCCAATCTTGTCAAATTATGCATTTTTCCTTCAATTTATGCAATTTTGACCCCCTGAAAATTCCTGCACACACTTGCAAGCTTACTACCCAATGGAAATTGTGTACAGATACCTCCTTTATGCAATAGAAAAGGTTTAAGGTATACAGGAAAATGTGGGAACGAAAATCTAAACTAAGCCTCTTTTCCTCTGGTGGCCAACTGACTATCCCCAAGACATTCTTGGGCGCATGTCACAAGAGTGGGGGGATATGTGCCCTAGCTATTCCACTGTGTTTCGGGGTGGCGTCAGAAAACTTCTCCCTGACTGGAATCTAAAAGCTTCACTTTTGATATGAGAAGTGTATTTAAAAGCAGGGAGATTAAGTTGAAAAAGAAAACTAAAAACACTTTCACAATTGTTGGTCTGTTTGTAAGGCTTAGAACGTTTTGACGAGCCCTCGTATTTGGTGTATAAATAGTGAGCCGTCTATAGTTTTAGCAAGAAGGCATCATCATCATCATCATCGTTGCCTATCACAAGTTGGCCGTAGGCAGGAGGAGACGCCCGGTTCTGACGTAACTTCCGGTTGACGAGAATCACAAGGCCAATCACAGCAACAATTAGAATAAAAACTGTAGCCAGTCTGAAAGGAAGAAATAAACAGAAAACTACACGAAATTGGTAAGTACGACAATTGATGATTATAAAGCAGTCTAGTGATTCAGTAGATATAGCGTCTTCTTGGAGAGCTCTGTGGTTCGATTCCGGGCGCGTCATACCAAAAGACGTTAAATGATGGTAGATTGTTAGCTTAGCTAGAGCTCGACATTAAAGGGCTAACATAATGACTGGTCGGCACTATACTGAGTTGGGTACCCATGGTATTAGTATCTGAGTGGACTAGCTCTATTTAAAACCGGCATTAGTTCTGACTGGTAAAATCAGACAAGCACACATACGCTCTTACGTCGCTATATAAGTCAAATAATCAGGAACGCGATGTTAAAAGCATTTCACTTCACCTCATCCCACCCAACCCCACCCCACCCCACCCCACCCCACCCCACCCCACCCCACCCCACCCCACCCCACCGCACCGCACCGCACCGCACCGCACCGCACCGCACCGCACGACCAGCAATGCGATTCGTGATCAAGAGTTTTCAAATCAGGAAAGGTTGAAAGATTTCAAACCCTTGAGTGGCGTTTTGGTAGATTTGTGAAGGTAGATCGGTGAGGTTTGGAAATCGAAATTTAATTTACATTAAAATTCGATTTACATACAAATTTATTGTAAATTATGAGAAGAAAATTGTTCATGTGGCCTAACCTGGAACTGGAACACGAGTTTTGAGCGTGTAATAATTCCGTTAGTGACCCCAACCCATCATTGTTTAGCATGTTCGTCGTCTACATGTACTTACACTTCTACAGATATCAGCAGTGTGATAGTCTGAAGATTGGTAGGCTTGGCTGTTATAGTAACAGCACCAGGTGTCGGGAACGTCGGGAACGGCGGAAACGTCGTTGTGTTGTCACCACCAGGTGCTGGTCCAGTTGTCTTGCCGCCAAGGTTACTTGGCCTGGCACAAGCGTGGCTACTGAATAATGTCATAACCTGTAACAAGGAACCACAGTGTAGGTGCGCCGCTCTCAACAAGGCTGGGGTCGTGTTGGGGCGACGCCTGTGTTGACGAAGAATAGTTACGACATTCAAAGCCCTGAAATCGCTTTATTTACGGTAGTCCACATCTTAGGTGCTGGTTTAAATCTATCTGCAGCTGAAATGGCATTTTTCATAATCACAGTGGCTTCTCTGTTGTTGACAGACCGCCACCGTGGTCTAGTGGTAGGGCGTCTGCCAGGAGAGCAGAAGGTCCGGGGTTCGACGTTAAAAGAGAGTACTTGTTTCCCTGTCTGGCCCTCGGCGTTAAGGGGCGAAAACAAGGACTGGTCGGCTTGGGGTCAGAATACTGTGTCTGAGTAGGTATTCTGGACGAGTACAAACACACACGTTGCTATATTAGTGCAACAATGATGAACGCAACTTCAAACCCTATTTCACCTCACCTATTGTTGACAGTGGTGTTATTCAACTATGAACGAACTATCGTGAGCAGCCTCCTACCAACTGAGATCACAACTTTAAACTCATTGTCGATGCTGTCAAAGCCGATAATAATAATGGGCCAAAAAAGAGGAACCTGCTGAAGGTCTTTCAGAGTGGGTTAAGTCAGTGCTAGAATGCATAAATTGAATAAGAGGAACCATCATTGGAATAAACCAATTCTGTCCCAGCCAGCTGACATCAAAAGTCTGGGTGCCCTATTATGAAAAGTTTGTAGTTGTTCCCACTGAGAAGGCCTCAAAGAGCATAGCACTATATACTCTTCAAAAAAAGAAACGCAATACGGATATTTTGCCCATAAAAGCAAAATTAAGGACCAAGAGGTGCAAAATGAAGAAGTTCAATCTGTTATAGTGTCAGTGACAAATTTCCCAGATCAAAATGATCACAACAAGGACATGCAAACCATAATCCGTACGATTCGGAAAAACGCACTCAGTGCATTAACAAAAGAGCCATGGAGCTGCACGCACTGCACGTGCAGCAGCACTGTTGCAGTGCAGAGTTTTTGATGGCCTGACATCTACGTCAATCGGACAGTGACAGTTCAACAACATGCCAAGATTAACAGAGGTGCAACGAAACAAGGTCATAGGCCGCTTGCAGGCAGGGGAATCCAGATCAGCTGTAGCCAGGGATTTCAATGTAGCGCCCAGCACCATCACAAGGCTATGGGAGCAGTTTCAACAGCATGGGTCAACACGTGATCGGCCAAGGTCGGGACGAGTAACCGCCCCCGCCCAAGATCGCTACATCCGACTCCGTCACCTACGTCAAAGGACGACCACAGCCACCTCAACCGCAACCAAAATACCCGGACTGAGCAGAATCTCCGACCAGACCGTACGAAGCCGTTTAAGAGCAGCAGGTCTACGAGCAAGACGTCCTGCTCGACGCGTCATATTGAGTCGACAACATCGTCAACAACGACTGCATTGGTGTCGTCAACACAGGGTATGGTCTCAACGGATGGAGAGATGTTTGGTTCAGCGACGTATCAAGATTTCTCCTCCGTCGAGGGGATGGAAGAGCACGGGTCTACAGACATCGGGGAGAACGTTACGCCGGAAACTGCGTACAGGGAGTGGACAGGTTTGGTGGGGGTAGCGTTAGGATGTGGGCGTCTATCTCTCATCTTGGCAGGACAGGTTTGGTCTATATCCAGGGCAATCTTACGGCTTATTGATACATAAACAAAGTTCTCCTAACACAACGCCGTGATATAACTGGAATATTGTTAAAAGCGGCGTTAAACCCAACTCACTCACTCACTCACTCTCCTACCACACGTCCTCCCAATTGTAGCCAACGGCAACGGTGTATAACAGCAGGTTCCGGCTCGATCGCATACAGCACGGATCACAAGAGCCTATCTATACAACAACAACGTTGATGTTCTCCCCTTGGCCCTCCAGATTCCCAGGTTTGAAACCAATAGAGCACCTGTGGGATGATTTGGATAGACGGCTACGCCGACGTCAACCACAACCCCAGACGTTGCAGCAGTTGGCATTTGCTCTGCAGGCCGAGTGGGCTACCATTCCCCAGGATATGATTTGCATACTCGTCTCCTGCATGGGCAGGAGATGTCCGGCCGCTATCAATTTCAACAGGGGACATATGCGTTATTGATGGAAGCTGACCTTCACCTTGGACTTTTCCAATGTACCGATAACTGAGATGACGAATTGTCGAAATTGTGTCGAAACATTTAGTTTCTACGTTCTTGGGTTCAGGACAATTTTTCAAGAATTAAAGCAATTGATATTTACTGAGAAACTGATATGTGATCATGAAATGATGAACTTCCTCACTGATAAAATTGTTAAATTTAGGTAGACATCCCCATGGGAACCAACTGTGCTCCCCTTCTTGCCGATGTGTTTGTTTATTTGGCCAAGAACTTTGACTTAAACTTCAAGTATATCGATGATATCTGATATCGTTCAATAACCATTACACAGCCAGGGGGCACGGGTGGCCCAGTCGTCTAAGGCATCACGATTCGCTGTGCAGAGTTGCGTCTTTTGGGCACGCCAGAAACCTATGATTGTGGGTTCGAATCCCGGTTCGCCCCGATTATGTTTCTAGGTTTGTCAGCACCAAACGTGCTCGTGGGTTTCACCGAAGTGGTAAACGTCTGAGACCTACATCACTTCGGCCTTTCCTCCCACATTAAGCTGACACGCCGTGATATAACTGGAATACTGTTAAAAGCGGCGTTAAACCCAACTCACTCACTCACATAGCCAATTCCCTTTCACTGACATACCCGCCTGAACTAGAACTAGAAGAGACAAGAGCGACCGCCTCGTCTGTTTCATATTTAGATCTGAGCATAAAGATTCAGAGTGACAAAAACCTCTCCACAAGATTGTCTGACACATTTGCGATACAATCGAGTATGCTCTTTCTTTGAAGATTTCCAAGAGCGTCATATCACTCTTGGTCAAAAGTTGTTTCATCAAGGTTCCAACCTGCAAGGCCTCAGTAGTCAAGTCAAAGACGTTTATTGTATCAAAGGCCATGGGCCCATATACAAGTTCAGATAAATACAGTGGGTGAGAATTTACAGATTGGGAGATACAACAAAAATTATATAAATATAACATTCATTTAACAATCGGTGATAATCATGAGGACTTTCTAGGGTGAGGTAATTAAAATTATGAACTTCCACTCAACATGTTATTTCGTAGTTCCATCCCATGTTTTACAAATAAAGACAGTTTAAACATTACATCGGCATCATTCGATGACAAAATAGAAACAAACAGTAAAGCTTTAGTCCCCGGTTATCTTCACCATCAGTATATTCAATATTCCAGGGGGCACGGGTGGCCCAATCGTCTAGGGCGCCGCGATTCGCTGTGCAGAGTTGCGTCCCTTGGGCACGCCAGAAACCTATGATTGTGGGTTCGAATCCCGGTTCGCCCCGATTATTATGTTTCTAGGTTTGCTCGTGGGTTTCACCGAAGTGGTAAACGTCTGAGACCTGCATCACTTCGGGCTTTCCTCCCACATTAAGCTGACACGCCGCGATATAACTGGAATACTGTTAAAAGCGGCGTTAAACCCAACTGACTCACTCACTATCTCGTGCACATACCTGGGGAATGGACACTTTCACATGTCACTCTATGTCACGCCACATTCGAGGAGAGACGTTTTGTCTCCCTCGCCAGGACTTCATTTAACAACAAGTTTTATAATAAAGACACGTAAAGACAAATTTGGCGCATCAGTGACAAAGAATCACTCGCGCCATGTGTTTCCGTGTTTGTTTCAGGTGAGTGAGTATGGTTTTACGCCCTTTTTAGCAATATTCCGGCAATATCACGGTGGGGGACACCAGAAATGGGCCTCACACATTGTACCCATGTCGGGAATCCTGTTAGTCGCCTCTGATGACAAGTAAGGGTTGCTGTGGACAATTTCTAACCCCGTTCCGAATTCTATGAACACAGTGTAACTATTGTCTTGTTATTCATGTTAAAATACAGTAAAGCCTTGTTTGTCCGGAGGTAGCGTTCGGAATTATCGACCGATATAGGGTTATGTAGTTTCACCGTAAACATATGTCTGAGTTAGCCTGTACGAGAGTCCTTCATACTTACATATGGACCACTTCCGGAAACCTGTCCTGTAATCCAGAGAGCATCCGGTTTCGCTTCCTGGCTGCACTTCAGCTTGATTGATATGACCCTGTAGCGAGTAACAGAGTACAGTATTTAACGCCTTAATAGAACAGAGAGGGAGCTACGCTACATTCTGACTCGCTAAACAACACTGAGCTTAATAAGATAAATTGTTGCATCACTATCCCATACTCAACGAAACACAAAGCATATGTACGCTGACTTACACTTGTGTGGCGTGTGTGAGTGGAAAATTCGAGGTTATGCAGGCCTAAGACGTTTACCATTTGGGTGAAACACACCATGTTGATGGCAAACCAAGGACTCCACGCCACGCCACGCCACGCCACGCCACGCCGAGCCACGCCAAGTCACGCCACGCCACGCCACGCCTCCTAACCCCAACCCACGTCACGCAACGCCACGCAACACAACACAACACGCAACACAAAAAGCCACGCCACACCATGCACAGTGGAAATGTTTTTTGTATAACTTGCTTTGAAGTATCATCAAAATATCAGAAAACGGCCAGTCTCGATTATCCGCCCATGCAAGTTCCATTGGGCATTAAAGGCAAAATAGTGGGGACAAATATACGAATGGATAACTGAATATCAAAATCATAAAATATATTAAACTAATAATGCTTGTCAACCACAACTAGAAGATTACACTTACACTTCTCCTTGCGAGTATTCCAGGGACAAGCCTTCCACCTTGTTGGAGACGAACCTGGCGCTCTGCTGGGTGCCGACAACAACCCCTGGCTGGGAGCCACTGTACCGACAGACGGCCGCGTCCTTGCACGCAGCTTGTGTGAACGGGACACATGGGTTCCAGGAGAACCGATCACGCCCGAGAAGATCGTGGAGGTGGTTAAATCTGACAACAAAATACAGTAAACTAAGTTTATAACGAAAACGCTTATAACGAACTGACCGATATAACGAACTTATTTTTTAGTCCCGGCCATTTAATGAATATATGCTGTATATATGCATATAACGAACTACGGTTATTACGAACTAAATTTAGTGGTCCCTTTGAGTTCGTTATAACCGTAGTTTACTGTATGTGTGATGCATTCCTACAACTGACAAATCCTACATCTCATGCATTCTGACAAATTCCTACATGGGGATACATTCCTACATCGGAAACTGTCCTACATCTGGAACACTCCTTCTTCTCGAACATTCCCTCATCAGATACATTGCTTCATAACATACACAGAGGTTTCATCACCAGTGTTTTTTTAATATGGGAAATATCAACCGAGTCTTTTGCAGGGCAAATACCGATTAACCGGACGAAAAAGAACCACTGGTGATGAATTCTATTTATCATTTTGACATTTTTGTTTCCCTTACAAGGAATAAATGCATTAACATTAACATCAGCAACTTGTCGAAATCGTACGTATAGATCGTGCGTAGTGATACAGGTTTTCCATAGCCGGGTGAAGTTACTGTGATCTAAAATAAACAACCTCTTCACTCCTTTATGGCATATTCCTTCGCTGAGAAAAAAGTTCCTCGGAGTATTTTAAACATAATACTTGAACAGACTTTTGCAGAATAATTGAAACTTTAATAACGGTAACAACAACGATTCTGTGTAATCTGATTATATCCCTGGTGTAACTTCAATTATATATACTTTCCAATCAAACCGCTCTCTCACTTGAAGAATGTCTCGCGGAGGTGAGGTTAGAGTAGATGCATTACTCGGTTTCACTATCACTTTCAATGACAATCCGGCGTCTTTTGAGTGGAACCGGGTTTCACGAGATTAATCGTTGTGTTTCAACCAGTAATGTTGCCAGCAAATATAGTGTTGACACCCACAGAAACATTTATACTTTGAGACCGCTGACTGTGTTGTCTACCTGCGATTTGTACATTACACAAAGGGCCGCTCTGCATGACGGGAGTTTCATCAACAAGCAAAGATGTCACAGTGTGGGAATCGCTGTGCAGAGTTGCGTCCCTTTGGCACGCCAGAAACCTATGATTGTGGGTTCGAAACCCGGTTTACCCCAATTATGTTTCTAGGTTTGTCAGCACCATACCCGTGCTTGTGGGTTTCACCGAACTGGTAAACGTCTGAGACCTGCATCACTTCGGGCTTTCCTCCCACATTAACACGCCGCGATATAACTGGAATACTGTTAAAAGCGGCGTTAAACCCAACTCACTCACTCACTTAGCGCTAAGATCGCTTTGTGCAAGTGGGTCCTGGTACCTTCTATTTCATTCATACCTCGATATTCTCAGTATGTTATGGCTGTTTTAACGTTGTATTATTTTTACGTTTAATGACATTATTTGTACAATTCCGACTATATCACGAGCAAGTGTTTATGAATCACTATCAAATAGTAATGATACCAGGTGGCGCGAAAACGTGAGCGTAGCCTGCCCCACCGGTGACACCCGTCACAAACACATGCACAGGCAAGTCAATTGTTCACGTGAAAAAAACCATATGGGAACATATGGTACAAGTGAAAATAGGGAATTGCATCGGACATCATTTTTGTCACTGATGCGTCAAATGTGGAAATGTCCTCCACATGTCTACCATAAAACGTTTTGAAAGCTTTACTGAGGCCTTGAATGTTGTAACCTTGATCAAACAACTTCTGAGCAAGAGTCGTATGACGTTCTTTGAAATCTTGGTAGAAAGAGCATGCTCGATTGAATCTCATAAGTTGGGCAATAAAGGAATGTTATTTCTTTACACAGGAACATTTTGTCAAGAAAACAATTATTTCGAATACACGCATATCTTGATCTCAAAGGCCAGTTATATCATGTGATGTGTTTGTGACTCTAGTGCTACCTACGGAAGCCGTTCAAGGTTATTTTTTAATGTTCAAATTTCAAGATATATACTAAGTTAAAATTTCAAGATATATACTAAGCTGAAATTTCAAGATAATGATCTTGAAATTTCAACATCCTATGTTGAAATGTAAGATGCTATGTTGAAATTTCAATATACATAAGTTGAAATTTCAACTTTTTATCTTGAAAATTCAACTTTTTTTCTTGAAATTTCAAGATCATTACCTTGAAATTTCAACTTAGTATGTATCCAGAAATTTCAACTCCGTATCTTGAAATTTCAAGAAAAAAACACAAAAATAAACAATTGGCCCTAAAAGGCTTCCACTGTACAGTGGCACAGAGTAATACTTCAGGAAGAGCTTTACAAAAAAACAGGCAGCCCGGATCCCACACCTTAACCCACACATTCCGGGGGAGTACTGCCGGAGTTAAACTGTAACAAATTAAATGTATAACGGGTGGGATACAAATATTAAAACGTCAATTATTATGGAAAAAAAGTCTGAATAAGGTTATACAGTGTGTGTGTGTGTGTGTGTGTGTGTGTGTGTGTGTGTTTGTGTGTGTGTGTTGCTGCTGCTTCTACTAATGTAATTTTATAGTGCTACCCAACGGAGATACTTTTCCGTAGTTTAACCTGAATAACACACTCAGACACAGTATACTAACTCCAAGCCGACCAGGCCCCTCAATGCCGAGCACAGGGAGGGTAACAACAAGCATCATCTGTTAACGTCTTTTGGTATGACGCGGCCGGGAATCGAACCCCGGACCTTCCGCTCTCCGGGCAGATGCTTCATCCACTAGACCACCGAGGCGGTCACGCACATACAGCAGGAACAAGCTGTTTAGTGTCAGGCCTTCACATTAGTGTGATAAGCGAAAGCTCGATCCAACTGATAATCAATAACTCATCACATGCTAGGTCACTGGAGGTTTGGTCGTTCGTTTTAAGCGCCGCAATTCGATGTGTACCAGAAACCTGTGATCGTGGACTCGAATCCCGCTGATTTCGTTGGTTATGTTTCTTGATTTGAAACCAACAAACCCATGATCGTGGGTTTCGCCGAAGTGGTAAACGTCTAAGATCTGATCTCATCGGACTTTCCTCCCACATGATCAAGCTGACACGCCGTGATATATCTGAAACGCTGTGGCTTTAAACCTAACTCACTTACACATCACACACCGCACTCAGCAATTGTATGGCTATGTGACTGCAATCTGTAGCCTGTAATCAAGGTGTGGACCAGACAGTCCAGTGATTGATATTGTGAACAACGATCCGTCTGAGAACAATGACATTCTATCATCCAAGTCACCGAACCCGATCAGTCGCTCTATTTGGTCGCCTCTCACGACCAAGTCACCGAACCCGATCAGCCGCTCTATTTGGTCGCCTCTCACGACCAAGTCACCGGATCCGATCAGCCGCTCTATTTGGTCGCCTCTCACGACCAAGTCACCGAACCCGATCAGCCGCTCTATTTGGTCGCCTCTCACGACCAAGTCACCGGACCCGATCAGCCGCTCTATTTGGTCGCCTCTCACGACCAAGTCACCGAACCCGAACAGCCGCTCTATTTGGTCGCCTCTCACGACCAAGTCACCGAACCCGATCAGCCGCTCTAGTTGGTCGCCTCTCACGACCAAGTCACCGAACCCGATCAGCCGCTCTATTTGGTCGCCTCTCACGACCAACATGGATTGCTGGTGACCTATTGACGGATTATGATAACAACACACCTTACTTACATTGTAAGTTATAAGTGAGTGTGTTGGGTTTAATGTGTCTGTGAGCAGTGTTGCAGCTGTTCCACGATGTGTCAGGGTGATGAAAACTCATAGGTCAAGACCATAGCAACTCGGAACGGCTAATGAATTAAACTCTGCATCGCTGGGCCACCCACTCCTCTATTTAATGTTTGAACGTGTACGTTTAGTACGTGTTATTTAATGTAAAGGACCCGTGAAGATCCGGGGTAGAATAGGTCTTCAGCAACCCATGCTTGTCGTATAAGGCGACTATGCTTGTCGTACGAGATCTAACGGGATCGGGTGGTCAGGCTCGCTGACTTGGTCGATGCATGTCATCGTATCTCAATTGCGTGGATCGATACGCATGATGTCAATCACTGAATTGTGTGGTCCAGACTCGATTATTTACAGACCGCCCTCATATGGCTTGAATATTGCTGAGTGCGTTAAACAACAAACAAACAAAAAATATTCAATGTAACGGTACTCACGCAGGTGTCCCGTTATTCAGAGCAAGTGGGGTCAAATCGACAACTCCTGCATCTGATTGGCAAGTGCATGGTCCGGTCTGTTTCAAGTTGGGTACCACGTGTGACTCACAGACAGCGAACACAACCCACAGTAAAACAACAGTCCGATACATTTTGAAGTAAACAGTTTCTAATCAGGCTACTGAGATGTACACTGGGAAAGAATTATCATATATTTATCTGTTATCACTGGTCAAATATCAAAGGTTACGGGGTATCGTCACGTTGGCGTTGATCGTTATAGCGATAGTAGCGTGTCAACAGTACAGATTGCCTTTCCGTTGTTGGTAGTGTGGATCGGTACATCAGCGAGCGGTGAACCATATCAGACAGACAGTTTATTCAGTAATTGAGGCATTAAGGCCCATAGTACAATGCAGATTGGATATTTTAACATTTGTCACGTGATGTACATGATTGGGTGAGGTGAAATGGGGTTTAACGTCGCGTCCAAGATTATTGCACTTATATACACGTGTGTGTGTGTCTGGCTGCTTGTACTAGTCCGGATTTATAGTGCTAGCATTAGGGCCACGGATAGCCATACTATACTGACTGTACTGATTACATTAAAAAAAGAGCTCTTTTTTAAATGTAATCAGTACAGTCAGTATAGTATGGCTATCCGTGGCCCTGTGGTGCTAGCACTGTGATATCATGCCGCAGTTTAACATGAATACCCCACTCAGACACAGTATACTGACAAGTAAACCACATTCCACAACAGTTACTGACACTGGATAAAAAAAAAAGTGCATAAAAAAAACCAAGTAACTCAACTCATCATGATCACAATTACTATTCTTTGAAAGAAAGAAATATAAAAAAATAAACTGACCAAAAAACGTAAAACAAGAGACGAGGAATTGATTATTATTGATTAGTCCCGGTATTGAAATGTTCTCCAACTACGTGATAATATTTTGAGTATGTGCATCTGTGGTTGTGGCAAAAAGACCTTATCTAGTATGACTTTTTTGCCATATGGAGCCCTAAGTACTTTTATTTACATTATTATAACCAAATGCCAAGTGTAAAAAGAATGTGATCTATTATTTGAGTATGTGCATCTGCCAATGTTGTTGGCAGGTTTGATACTATTTCCACATGTTTACATTTGTGCCAGAAATTGCTTCCATTTCCTTCGATCTACTTTTTAAATAAAGACCCAGGTTAGAATAGGTCTTCATCAACCTATGCTTGCCGTAAGAGGCAACGAACAAGATTGGGTAGTCAGGCTCGCCGATTTGGTCGATGCATAACATCATATTCCAATTGCGTAGTTCGATGCTCTTGGTATCAATCACTGGATGATCTGGTCCAGACTGGATTATTTACAGACCGCCGTCATATGGCTGGAATACTGCTGAGTGCGGCGTTAAACAAGAAACCATTTTTAAATAGACCTACCCTATGCAAAGGTATCATCTGTATTGCCCAATACTGCCCAATAAATAATATTTTTTACCACAACAGCGTTGTGTTATTTGTGGTTAATTTAATTATGCTCCATCATGCCTTTCAGTAACATCATAATTATGCGTTTGTGAGGCATCACACATGGCGGGGAACTTTGATGCTCTGCATCAATGTTTTCTTGTACTTAATTGGGAATACGTTTCACATACAAGTAAGACATAGTTTTCATCCTCTACTTCTCTAGGTGATGAACTTGTACAAAAAGAGTTTCTTAATATCACCGGTACCGTTTGGACCTACGACATACATTTGCATTAAAATTGTGCAAAGAAATTCAAAGTTTATAATAAGCTCTTATTAACAAGGTATCTTTCAGTTTGTAACAATGATTTTCTGTAATTGCTAAAACAAAGTTATACAGAAATATTTTGGTGCCACTGTTGACAAAAAATATATCCTTTAGTAATTATGATAAACTGTGGGTCTCCCAAATCTTGTGAAATCCATATATTTGATAAGCCGCTTACAAAATCTAGATCTCTGACACCTGAAACCCTAATATTTTTACCATTATCATCAAGTACCTTTAACATTTTGTTACACTGGAACTTCCGGTATGGCGCTCGAAGCGTAAAGACGTGCGACTGGCGCTCTCGTGGTAATCCACTTCAATCTTTACACAAGCATGGCGGGGAGACGAAATACAAACAAACAGAACAACAAATCTACCACCAGCAGTACTGCTACACATAAAATCAGCTCGTATTTACGCCCGGAGCTGACAGATGAGGAGGAAAACTCTGACGTTATTCTGCCCTTACATTCACCTTCGTCCTCCCCGCCTGCTGACTTTGAACCCAGCGACTTGAAAATGTTCCTTTGCGAGGAATTGGACAAACAGACCAGTCAGATATGTTCCAAGATCGACTCTGTTAAAGAAGAAGTGGCTGACTTGTTTAAACGGGTATCTTCAGTGGAGTCGTCGGTGGAATTTATGTCGAAATCTATCGACGACCTTGGTGACAAAATGGCGTCGTCAGAACAACGCCTCCGTGACGAAATCGACAAGCTTAGAGAAAAGCTACTGATCTCAGAGATGTATTCCCGTAAATCCAACTTTACTAATCTACGGTGTACCTAATACAGTCACAGATGTTGACAAGGCCTGTAGAAACATTTTCAAGGATAAATTACACCTGGATTCACATGCGGTGTACAACATGTTGTTTGTGAATATTCACAGACTCCCTCGATTCACACCGAACGAAGAACCTAATCCTATCATCATTAAATTCGTGCGCATGGAGGACAGAGATCTCATTTTGAAGACTACCTATTCCGTGGGGAGGGAATTGGCGGAAGACCGGCTCAGTGTTCGTACAGACCTGCCTGTCGACTTAAAAAAAACTTCGTGGCCGCCTGGTACGAAAAGCCGCTGAATTACGTAAACAACAACTACATGCAAAGGTTCGCGAAAAGGGGATCGTTGTTACCCTGTATTACAGAAAGGATGCCAGGAGCGCATGGAAAACTCTCAATGAGGACGAGGAACCAAGAATCTAACCTAGCTAAAGTCAATGTATGTGATGATGAGTGACCCATTTTCTCGATCAATGTTTTATTTGTTTCTTTAAACACAAATCTAACTTTATTTGAGTGCAGATCAGCATGTTTGGGTTTCTTGATCTCGCTCTCGGACATGTGAAGATCTACTGTCACGTTGTTTCACAGTGTTACCGGAGACGAATCTTGAACTTTTTACATTGGTATTTTGCATATCACATGACCAAGGTGTGTACGTCTGTCACGTGACCATTCAAAATGGCGGCCCGCAGGACTCGTGGAAAGGACGATATTCTTATAATATTTCTTTCATGGATAAGGTGTGAAAAATAAAATGAGATACCCGCTTTTTGGGAGGTGAGCTTAACATAACGAATACACTGTAGAATTACTGATGATGAGTGACCCATTCTCTCGGGCAATTTTTATTTCTTTTGTTATAAATCACAAATGTAGTGCTAACTTTATTTTAGTGCACATCAACATGTTCGGGTTTGTTGATCTCGTTCTTGGACATGTATGTGAAGATCCCTTGTCACGTTGTTTCGTTATGAAAATAAATACAACACAAAAAAACTGCAGATATATATTAAAAAACAAACTAGTATACTGTAGAATTACTGTATGAGATAATAAAATGATAAGACCTTTTTGCATAATATCAGATATAAGTCTTATATGCATTGCATCATTAGTTCATCAGTTAAACTTTTGATCAATAGAGAACTTGTAAGTGTGTAAAACTCGTAAATTACATATCGGACAGTGTGTTAGTTTGGTTATTTTCTACTTTTCTCTATATTACTATGTTAGTGCCTACTCGCTGTATGCCACAGCCTAATTTAGTTTATAGTGATATGGGTCAAGTGAATATTGCATGAGGAAATATTCAACCGAATCACTAGTAACTGTGAATGTGGGATGTTAGCTTCACATTAGAAAGTATTTAGTTGTGTGTTGGTTTGACACTTGTGTGCTTCTTACTTATCATTATGAGCTATTTTTGCTCCTGGTCTTTTCCGTTATTTGCCACTGATACTTTTGGGTGAAGATTTTACCCCTTGTTTCTGGTGGTAGCCACATGGTGCCAGTTTGTATCATACGATGCTTTACTTGAAGTTTGTAGAAGCAAGTGTGAGTTTTATTTCAGTCATTTATGGTTTTAAAGCTTTTCCTTCAGATAGTTGTGAAAGTGTATGTTTGTGTAGAAAGTGTGTAAATTCAATCTTTCATATGGCCTCTGTGTATGTGAACAAATCTTTTATTGACAATGGCTATCTTAGGTTTTACCTGTTGCTCTATGAACTGTAGAGGACTGCAAGATAATGCCAAGAGAAAGGATGTTTTTAACTTTTTACAATCTAAAGCATACTCATTTTATCTACTGCAGGATACACATTTTACAAAAGAACAAGAACCAATTATAAGATCAGAGATGGGATTTGATTGCATCTTCAATTAAAAAAACAGCCAGTCAAGGGGTGTTGCGATTTTGTTTAATAAAAATGTGGACTATAAGATTCATAGGACTTATATGACAATGGTAACTTACTTATATTAGATATAACTATTAGTGATCAACGGGTAACACTTGTGAATATTTATGGTCCCAATTTAGACTCGCCAGAATTCTATGAGCAGGTTAAAGAGCAAGCTCGTGTCATGGGAAATGAGGATTATATTTTAGCTGCAGATTGGAATCTTGTTTAGAATGAGTCACTAGATGTTCATAATTACCAGAATATCAATTACCCTCGTGCTCGTGAAAAAGTATTAAAATTAATTGGTGATTTTGATTTGGTAGATGTGTGGAGAGATTTCAATCCAGAAATCAAAAGGTTTACTTGGCGTAAAAAGTCACCCTTAAAACAAGCAAGATTAGATTTTTTCCTCATCTCAGAAAGACTCTTTTCTTTTGCCACACAGGCAAAAATCACTGCAGGTTAAAGAACTGATCATTCAATCATTGATCTGAGTATTTCATTTCAAACTTGTCCAAAGCGTAATACATACTGGAAATTTAATACTTCTTTGTTGAAAGATAAGTATTACATAGATCTAGTGAAAGAAACTATTTTAAAGGTTAAATCGCAGTATATTAAAATGTATGGTGATGCTCGAAATATTAATGATATACCTAATCATGAAATTCAGTTTAATATAAATGATCAATTATTCTTTGAAGTCCTGCTTCTGGAAATCAGAGGAAAAACAGTTTCTTATTCTTCCTTCAAGAAAAAAAAATATTGAAAAAGAACAAAACCTGATTCAACAGATCGAAATTCTTGAAACTTCTAGTGTTATTAATTTTGATGATTTGGAAGATAAAAGAAAAGAATTGGAGGAAATTAGGAAACACAAGATGACTGGAATTGCCATAAGATCTAGAACTAAGTTGATTATGGATGGTGAAAGAGTTAGCAGCTATATCTGTAACCTTGAGAACAGGAATTTTGTAAGCAAGTCTATGACTCATTTGGAGTTAAACGATGGCACCACATTGCTAAATTCAAGTGACATCATTGCTGAAGCTGCCATTTCTATGAGAATTTATACAGTAGCAAAGAACACATGGTGCAAGATTGTGATTTGAATACCCTGTTAGACAGAGACTCTCTCCCCTTTTTTAATAAAAGTGATGTGAACGAGATGGAAGATCTATTAACTCTTGATGAGCTGGCAAAAGCTTTGAAAAATATGCAAAATAACAAAAGCCCAGGCTCAGATGGCTTTCCCACTGAATTTTATAAATTCTTTTGGAAAGATATTGGACAATTTCTATTGCGATCATTGAATTGTGGTTTAATATCTCGTGAACTCTCTGTTACCCAAAAACAAGGGGTTATTGTCTGTATTCCAAAGGGGGACAAGCCTAAACGCTTCATAACTAACTGGAGGCCCATATCACTATTGAATGTTTCATATAAGCTGGCATCTTCATGCATAGCAAATAGAATCAAATCAAGATTGCCATTTATCATTAATGGAGATCAGACTGGCTTTATGACAGGTCGCTACATTGGTGACAATATTCGCTTAATCTATGATGCCATCTCATGTACAGAAAAATCAAACATTCCTGGTATGCTTCTTCTTATAGACTTTGAGAAGGCATTTGATTCCATTGCTTGGTCATTTATAGACAAATCTTTATCCTTTTGGGGATTTGGTGAAAATTTAAGAAAATATATATCGGTATTTTACAATGATATAACAAGCTGTATGTCTATCAATGGTCAGTTGTCATCTTGGTTTAATATCAGACGCGGTTGCCGACAGGGTGACATATTATCACCGTATATATTTATTCTCTGTGCAGAAATACTAGCCAATATGATCCGTTCTAACAGAGATGTCAAAGGTATCCTTGTGGACGGTAGTGAGTATCTTCTTAGTCAGTATGCTGACGATATGGAATTATTACTTGATGGTAGTCAGTCCTCCTTTGTATCATGTATTAACTCTCTTGATTGTTTTGCCAAAATATCTTGTCTTAAGATTAACTATAATAAAACTCAAGTTATCTGCCATGCTCCAAGAGAGGTTGTAAGGAAAAGTTCAAAGATGATTTGCCTATTAGTTGGTATCCAGAAGAGTTCAGAATTCTAGGAGTCAAATTTTGCACAAATCTGAAAAAATGGTTCAGTTGAACTTTAAAGACAAATTATTTGAGCTAAAACAGATTATGAATAGGTGGATGAAACGGATAGTTACACCAATTGGTAGGGTGGCAATCATTAAATCCTTGTTGATTTCAAAACTCAATTATCTATTGTTATCACTGCCTGATCCCCCAAATGATTTTCTTGTTACTTTAAATGCTATGCTTTTTAAATTTCTTTGGAGTGATAAACGAGACAAAGTAAAGAGGATTAAAGTTTGTCAACCTGTTAAGCAAGGGGGCTTAGGTATGGTGAATATATTTTCATATGTAACATCTCTTAAGGCCACATGGATAAGGAGACTTGTGTCCTCAGGTGATCAAAAATGGAAGCACCTATTCAAATCTACATATCCTTATTTGTGTAAACTTGGTGAGTTTGGTGTGACGTTTTTTGAGAGAAAATTATCTTTGATAAGTAATGAGTTTTGGAAAAGTTGTTTTCAGTCATTTATAGTGCTTGATAAGAAAATCAAGCCAGAATCTTTCAGTAGTTTTTTAACTGAACCAATTTTTTATAACCCTTATATTAAAATTAATAGGAAATCATTTTTCTTGAAATACTGGTTTGAGAAGGGCGTCTCCCAAATTATAGACTTGGTCAAGGCCAATAAGGAGTTTCTGTCATGTGAGGAATTTAATGATATGTATGGTATTTGTTCATCCTATTTGGAGTTTTATGGTGTTGTTAGAAGCGTTAAACAATACCTTGGAGCTCTAAATTTAGTTAGAGTTCCAACAGATTCTGTGGAGGATCAGCGCTGTGTGGTAAAAACTATTTGTAGTTCAAAGTCCGGTTCAAAGCATATTTATTTTTCATTGGTTTCTACAGAAGTAAAAACTAAAGGGCAGGAAAAGTGGGAATTACAATTTGAAAACTTAAACTGGAACAATATTTGTAATAAAATTTTCAATACAACACAGGATGTCAAACTGCGAGGGTTTCAATACAAAATTACCCACAGAATTCTCACCACTAATACTTTTCTGTATTTACTCAATTATGCTCAGAATGATTTGTGCTCCTTCTGTCACAATGAAAAGGAAACAATTACTCATTTGTTTTGGGAATGTGATGTAATAAAACAATTTTGGGATGAAGTGTCATTGTGGATAGACCAGTGCTTTCATGTTTATAATATGACATTTTGTGCAGAATTGATACTTTTTGGAGTTAAAGAGAACATAAAAACAGATAAAGTGTTTGATTTACTTTTACTAATTGCAAAATACTATATTTATGGACGAAATTCCAAAATACAAAACCTTATTTTCATGTTTAGAAATAGGAAGCTTTTTCACGATACAATATTGAAAAAGATATTGCTTTCAAGACAGGTAATCAACAAAAAATCTATGGTGCTTGGATGCTGTATCATCAACTTTTCGAAAATGAGGAGCAGCTTTCAATTTAGTTTTAGTTTTGTACTTAAGATTTTACTGTTTGAGACCATGTACTTTCCTAAACTGCAATATGATATATAAACAGGAGTGAATGTGTGAGTGAGAAGTATGTTATTTTCATTTATGTAACAGGTGCGTCTTTCTAAAAACAATAAAAGAAAAAAAAAACAACAACAACATTTTGTAACACTGATATTGGTATCTATCAGGCATCATTCTAAGTAACTTAATCCAATACTTAATAACCCTTAATTGGCTGACTACAAAAATATTACTACGGCCTGTTTCACCAAAGGTTTCCTTGTTTGGGGCAAACTTACTTTATCGCCCACAAAGGAAGGTCGGGCGCTTAAAGTACATACATGCATACAGGCAACACGATGCCCTTTACACAATAATACAAAACGCAATATTCCAGCTATATGACGGCGGTCTGTATATAATCGAGTCTGGACCAGACAATCTAGTGGTTGACATCATGAACATCGATCCACGCAATTGGGATACGATGACATGCATCAAGACAGCGAGCCTGACCAACCGTTAGTCGCCTCTTAAGACAAGCATGAGTTGCTGAAGACCTATTCTACTCCTGATATTCAGGGGTCCGTGACTATTGTGGCGTGTTTGTTCAGGAATAAACTTGGCTTGTCTTTGCATGTATTTGTGATGGGTGCCACCGGTGGTGCAGGATACGCTGACGTGGATCCTTGCTGATGATGGCACTGGAAGTCTCGATCTGATCTGATTATTTGAAGACATCCGTAACATATAGCTACAATGTTGTTGTGTGGCAGAAAACAACATCCACTCATCCTGCTGCGAGAGTCATGTTTCGTTGCTGATTGTGATCAGATTGTGGATGGTATAGGTAAAGCCGGGGTAGCGGGACACGGGAGCCCTGCCGAATGAAATCAAACTGCTGCTGATCAGGGTTGACGGCTGAAACAAGATCCGGAGTTAACATTAACAATATTCTTTATTCAATGAAGGGGGCATGGGTGGCCCAGTCGTCTAAGGCGCCGCAATTCGCTGTGCAGAGTTGCGTCCCTTGGGCACGCCAGAAACCTATGATTGTGGGTTCGAATCCCGGTTCGCCGCGATTATATTTCTAGGTTTATCAGCACCATACCCGTGCTCGTTGGTTTCACCGAAGTGGTAAACCTCTAAGACCTGCATCACTTCGGGCTTCTCTCCTACATTAAGCTGACACGCCGTGATATAACTGGAATATTGTTAAAAGCGGCCTTAACCCCAACTCACTCACTCACTTTATTCAATGAAGTTCTGCAGGTCTATACCCATTGTGAGAATCGAACCGCCGTCTTCACCGTGATGAGATGACGCCTTCCCTCCGTGCGAGGCTAATGTACAGCCCAAATACCACTATTTGGGTGAGTGTGGTTTTAGCAGTATTCCAGCAATATCACGGCAGGGGACATCAGAAATGGGCTTCACACATTGTACCCCTGTGGAGAGTCGAACCCGGGTCTTCAGCGTGACGAGGGAACGCATGAGCCACAAGACTACCCAACCGCCTCATAACTACAAATAGTAACGTCAATCATATCAGGCACGGTCTGGTAGCCTAGTGGATAAAGCGTTCGCTCGTCACGCCGAACACCCGGGTTCGATTCCCGACATGGGCACAATGTGTGAAGCCCATTTCTGGTGTCCCCAGTCGTGATATTGCTGGAATGGTGCTAAAAGCGGGGTAAACACTAACAACTGGGAAGTTGACATTCCACTCGGAACTCATGAAAATACAAATTGATAAATTTGTAAAATCAATGTATTATGTATTTCTGATCTTCATGACTTTGTTATGAAAACCTTTGTCATTGAAGCAAGCTGATTTTCCATTTAGTATTATTTTACACGAGAGAAATATCGATTTCATTGTTTCAGATGTGTATAATATTTCATCACTTGGTACATATAAAATAATTTACATATACCTATAATGACATGTGCTATCAGCCAACAAAAGACGGTCATGTCACAGGGATGTAACAAGGACCATATTACACACCCAGATGGGCTGAAATCATTTTGCTTATCAATGCTTTTTTTAAAATGGACGATCAGCCCGAGTGGTACATGTAAGAAGTTGGAGTTATGTCCCTTAGTGCGTCGTCTGCTCGACTAACTTTTCCGTGACAATGTCTTCCCAACAAAACTGAAAATGTATTGCCGCCACTTGGAAATAAATAAGTTACCATTTGATGTTAAGGTATATGATAAAAAAGAATATTTTATGACAGTTTTACAGTTTAATATACACCCATCAGCCCAAGACGTCCCCTCACCCTCGATAATCCAAGTTCCAGATCCTCGAGCCATGGTGTTACTGGTAGGTTGTCATCCAGATAGGATCCTGGACTGTACAGGAGAAATCTGCTCTTGTTCTCTCCGTCACGTGTGTCTCCAAACCGTATCCCAAGGCCCGCCATACACATTGAAAACATTATTCCTTCTGTAGTGTCTACTTCATTACATACTCTTTGATACTGCCCCCTTGTTCCAAGACGATACAAAGCCTGTTTGCTCAAGGCAATTCCTGCAAAATCATCAGGGTATATGACTTCTTTGACAAATGTCCTCCTTTTCAATTTATGTCCCCAATAAACGGCATTGCTGTTATCTTGGTTTGACAGGAAGTGACGTAGGTTTTCCATAATGACGTAAGGGATACCACGTGATATGAAGAACCAATCAGCATCATGGAAATGGTTTCCAAACACATATCGCAATCCTGTAATGAGATTTGATTGGCTTATTTTAACCCAGTTAGGGAGTCTGTCGAAGGACACAGCTGGTATCGTTCTGTTATAGCTGTCAATGAAGACTAACACCGACGTGCATTTGTTCGTCCAGGATCGCCTCGCAATCCGCAGTTGGTGTAAAAGATTAACTGCCCTCTTCTTGTAAAAGATGCACATCACCCGGGTATTCTTCAGCTCAAGTTCAGTGTTGGTGCCTGAAACGTACATAATATATAGATATTATATGAGGTTCCTTGTGATTATGCCCCATGGTCTGGCGTCCCTTTGTAAAACTAAGACTTTGTTATTAGTGCAGATGTGAAACTAAGGTGAGGTGAAATTGGGTTTAACGTCGCGTCCAAGATTATTGCACTTATATAGCGACGTGCATGCACGTGTATGTGTGTGTGTGGCTGCTTGTACTAGTCCGGACTGATGCCGATTTATAGTGCTAGCTCACTGAGATACCATGCCGCAGTTTAACATGAATACCCCACTCAGACACAGTATACTGACTCCGAGCCGACCAGTCCTTGTTTTAGCCCCTTACTGCCGAGCGCCAGACAGGGTAACAACAAGTACAATCTTTTAACGTCTTTTTGTATGACGCGGCCGGGATCGAACCCTGGACCTTCCGCTCTCCTGGCGGACGCTCTACCACTAGACCACGGAGGCGGTCCGATATTATAAAATAAAAAAATTATGAGGTTCCGTGTGATTATGTCCCAGGGTCTGGCGTCCCTTTGTAAAACTAAGACTTTGTTATTAGTGCAGATGTGAAACTAAGACACTGTCCATGTGAAATTAGGGTATTTAATAAGTGCAAGATTTATACTATACAGTAAACTACGGTTATAACGAACTCGAGGGGACCAATAACTTTCGTTCGTAATAACCGTTGTTCGTTATAAGCACACATACAGCATATGTACTGGTCGGGACTAAAAAATAAGTTCGTTATATCGGTAAGTTCGTTATAAGCGTGTTCGTTATAAACGTAGTTTTTTGTAATATGGGTGTTAGCAAACATGTGTCTCAACAACTTGAATTATACTAACTGGGACGGCCAATTTATTTGAACTAAGTTCACCTTTAATTGGGATGAGGATATACTTTAATGCATTTTCAGCTCAAATGAAATATGCATTAATGCATGTACTTCAAGTGCTAACCATTGATGAATTTACTTTAAAAATGTGCTCGTTTAGCTAAGTAGTAAGTATTACCAGTCAGTTTCCGCATGTTCTTCGTAAAATCACCTTCCGCATATATGGGAGTTGACTTTTGAGTATTTTGTCCTTCGTGCAATGCAACTTTGATTAAACCGGTGCTGATACCAAACAGGAATCCAGCACAGAAATGTCCCAGCTTGACCGACGCATGCCTACATGTAAACAGTTTCCTCATCTTGAAACGCGAATCTACAAGAAACGTAAATCTTGTTATTACCGCACGAAGACGTTTTGAATTGTTATTTCTAAGAAAATGAAGATAGTAATGTATGACATTTTTAAGACCTAACAGGAATAGCGTCAGTGTATTTTGAGCACAAAAGCTGTGCTGGGGGTGTCTCACATTCTAATCAACAAATATGTTTTAAGTAAAATATATAATGTAGTTTTTGGCAATGTATGACTTTCTGTAATGTGGAACTACAGGTTCATGATACTTGTGCCAGCAGTAAATCAAGTGCTGATGAGGAAGCGTGACAGGACAAAATTAACAATTTCATTAAAGGATTTCACAAACAGTTACTTATGTAAAATATAAATAACTGCTAAAATTTTCCGTAAAGGAATTTCAAACAAAATGTACGAATGTACATGTTAAATTAAAACTGAAATATTTTTAGTATGAAAGGAGAATTGGGATAAGTCAGTAACCCGCTTAGTGATTATTTAAGGAAATATTCGCAAATTCTTAATTTCGTTTCGACCACCCACATCATGACCAAAAAACGAAAAGAAGTGTAAATGTTTTTCAGTATCCTGTTGGTTTCTCCCGGAAATGTGAGTGAGTGAGTGAGTGAGTGAGTGAGTGAGTGAGTGAGTGAGTGAGTGGGTGGGTGGGTGGGTGGGAAGTTGTTTGATTGCTTTCAACAATATTCCATCACGGTGGTGAACCCAGGACTTTCTTGTGGCGAGCAAGACCGTTGACCGCTTTGCTCCTCAACCGTACACTAAAGTACCTTTGACATCAAATTCTGGGGGCACGGGTGGTCCAGTCGTCTAAGGCGTCGCGATACGATGTGCAGAGTGTCCCTTGGGTACGCCAGAAACCTATGATTGTGGGTTCGAAACCCGGTTCGCCCTGATTATGTTTCTACGTTTGTGGTAAACGTCTGAGACCTGCATCACTTCGGGCTTTCCTCTCACATTAAGCTGACACGCTGGAATACCGTTGAAAGCGTTAGACCAAACTCACTCACACTCACTCATATCCGAGACCCATATTGATTAAACTATACATCCATTCTCTTCATCCGCTGCCCATACATTCGAGACCTGCATCCCTCCTACGAAAAACTTCTTCATACAGTACCTGTATATTCAAACCCTTATACCTAAAAGTTTACACACAAGCTATCGTAATCCATTACTTGTATATCCAAAACCCTTATTCCTAAAACTATACATTCCTGCTACAGTGTTCCATTACCCGTATATCCAAACCATTATTCCTGAAAATATACATACAAGCAGCCGTAATCCATTACCTGTATATCCCAAACCCTTATTCCTCAAACTATACACACAAGCTACCGTAATTACATTACTTGTATATCTCAAACCCGTATTCCTCAAACTATTCATACAAGCTAGATTGTTCCATTACCTGTATATCCAAACCCTTATTCCTAAAACTATACATACAAGCTACAGTTTTACATTACATATATATCCAAACCCGTATTCCTCAAACTATACACACAAGCTACCGTAATGGATTACCTGTATATCCAAGAACCTTGTTCCTGAAACTATACATACAAGCTACCATGTTCAATCACCTGTAAATCCAAACCCTTATTCCTAAAACTATACACACAAGCTACCGTAATACATTACATGTATATCCAAAACCCTTATTCCGCAAACTATACACACAAGCTTCCGTGTTACGTTACCTGTAAATCCACACCCTTAATTGTTCCTAAAACTATACATACACGCTACCTTGTTCCATAGCATGTAAATCCACACCCTTGTTCCTGAAACTATACATACACGCTACCTTGTTCCATAGCATGTAAATCCACACCCTTATTCCTAAAACTATACACACAAGCTACCATCACCCACACAGGACACGTTCATCCATTACCTGCACAATCCTGGTCCCATGATCTTCGGGCTAGACAGGCAGGTCGTCCTCACATGTGTGGATAGCGTGGATATGATGAATCACTTTGGCCATCGACCAGGGAACACATGTGCAGTATCCCAGCTTCACGCAGGCGTCGCTGTGACGCTTATTGATTTATAATCAATACCTCTGTTCGGTGTCATTTCTGAGTCAACATATGTTGCCATAATTATCTCGTTTGTCCATTGAGTTTACACTTTGCGTTTTAACCACATCGTACTTGTGTTACGTGTCGACTCCCAAAGTGAACACTATGTCAACCCAGAAATCTGTACGTAACAGAATTGAGTGTGAAACCAACAACCAACCAAAATGGTATACAATCAGCATATATAGTTCAAAATCAATGAGGTTTATATAAATCAATACAAATTATTGCACAGCAATTACAATAGCAGTACACAATAAAGTGCTAGTACAATATTCAATGGCGGTATAAAATGTGAGAGCAGTGGAAATGACATTGACAAGAATAATAATCACCCCGCCGCAACAGTGGTCTATTTCGAGATAGGACTAGGCTGAATAACAGGGTGAAATGTGATCTTCACACGAAAGCTGGTCTTGATGTAATGTCACATGAAATGTGAGATGAAATGTTAGATGAGACAAGGACACGCCCGCTGTACTATTTATAGTCTAACTAGCTTCCAGCATTTTCCACAAAGTGCCAAACCAGCCCAATGTCACTTGAACATCTCATTACACATGTTTCTTTAACGCTGCACATCCATCCATGCTACTCCGGACGTTTACTGATAATATTAGCATCTATATAATAACTTCCTCACCACTGTTTACATGAAATAGTTTTACCTGCCTGACAACTAATCATTGACCAAATACAATGCAATGAACTTCTACTGAATCTCAAAAGAAGCACCGTAATACAGTTGCAGTATTTACACTGCCATACCACACTAGTGAATTTCGTTCCATGTCAGCTGACACGCCTTGATATATCTAAACTACTGTTAAAGGGTTGTTAATTTAATTGAGTCGTGTCGGTAAGCCAACAGTCAGTAAACCGTTATGATGCGGCTGTTCCCGAAGTGGTGAAGGTTGTAGGTACATCACTTTATTCCCCTACATCGCTTAGTCCTAATTTGTTGATTGACATTGAAAATATGAAATCATGATGTCACTTCTTCGTATTCCGTCTCTTGTTCATATGGTGTGTGATTCTAATGTTTGATCGATGTCGTCATATCCGGATATAGCTATACCGTTGACACAAGGGTAATTGTGAGTGAGTGAGTGTTTCGATAATACTGATTGTAATAAGGGATAAGGTGGTAATGCAATTACAAATATATCACCTTAATAATGCAAGATTAAGTAAATCAAACTGAGATAAAATTCCAAAGTAATCAAGAAAAAATAATATTGATTACAATTGTGTATTCGTTGATTGTTTAAAGCCAATTTGAAAGTCAGAATTATGTCGGCTATATCACGGCTACCTGTAAATAATCGAGCCTGGGTCAGACAAACCAGTGGTTGATACTATGAGCACCGATGAACCAAGTCACCAAGCATAATTATGTTATGCACATTCGAACATTGTGTAGATTGAAACATATTAAGGAAACAAATGTTAATATGTTTCACCACTCACACGAAACACCATCAAAGTCAGGGTGAAATGGGCTCGTTCTAAATGTATCACAACAGGCCTTAAATAATATTTACTATGTATTTTGATGTATTTGGCTGAAATACACAAAATCGAAATTTCACTCTTGTGAAGAAACTTCTGTCGGAACTATGTCTGCCCACCTCATAAGAATATGTGTCCACTGATTGTTCGATCGATCGATCCATTGATTGATTGATTGATCGATTAATCGATTGATTGAATCAATTGATTGAATCGATTGATTGAATCGATGGATGGATTCGAACACAATTTCAGTGTCAGTATCATGTGAGAGACGTTTACCACTTTGCTGATACCCAAGAGCACGAAGAAAGCGCAGCCATAATCATAATCATGGCAAATCTCTTCAACATTGCAGGTATCTCTTGGCGTAAAGAAAACAAACTCAGTCTATGAAAGCAACGTTTATCTCAAGTGTGCTATTTTACAAAGTATCTTCTGTCACTGGTTGTATTTTACGTTAACGTCACTGGTTGTATTTAACGTTAACGTCACTGGTTGTATTTTTACGTTAACGAGAACGCTACTAGTCCTCCTGCCTTCTCGTCTGTTTCTGCCTTAATGGACTCCATGCCCAGCATCTGTGTTGCAAGGGTGTCTGTTGGACTGGACTGGGCCATGGCATACCAACTCCAGGCACCGTCGTAACCATGGAAATAAGACCACTTGAACTGGTCCTGTGACGTCATTCCTGCTCCTCGAACTTGGTTGAACTCAGCGATGACAAGTGGTTTATCCAGTTGGTACTCCGAAGCATTGTGCTAAAACATTAAACCTACTGTAGATGTGTGTATCAGTGGTTCTATGTCATTATGCCTCGAGGAACAGTTTTAGAGTTGAGTATGATAAGACACGGAACGATCATACGATTGACAAGACAAGCTAAATGTCAATGGATATAACTAATTTCAGCCCCCCCCCCCCCCCCGTGCAATAGTATAGCAGTCATATTTTGTTGCAGTGCATGTCCATAGTCAACGCTGTCTTTCACAATGTGATTCGGAACATTTTTGCATGCAACAGTATGATAAGCATATAAATACTTTGATCACTTTCCAAGATCATAAAACATAACTCCACTGTACGATTTCATTATACGATTCCACGATATGATAATCATGTTACTATTAGTATAATTCCAATAAAGAATGAAACCTACATCTGACATATCATACATATTACACAAGACACAAAGTATTTTCCTCATCCTTCAAGACAAGTCTATTTTTTTTAAAGGAGGAGGCAAACAAATATTTTAGGATTCCAGAACAATGGCATGGCATCAAAGGAAAAGTTTATGTTTTTTGTTAAAATCTAAACTAATATAATGTTTTCTAGGACTTTCGGGAACGAATTATTTTCTACACCCAATCCTAATAACCCTTACGTTTTCCAGATGGAATTGCTAGTTACCATATTTTAAAGATCATAAACATTATCAAAATTACTTACCAGGAATGGAGCCCAGTCGTCGAACAACGTTTTATTATCATAGGTGTGAGTTGAATAAAACGTAAGATGCCCCTGAAAGTAGAAGCCATTCCATTGACACATATCTACAACAAGTCAGCAAGGCCCCTGTACCTATCAGGGGCGGTCGGGTAGCCTAGTGGTTAAAGCATTCGCTCGTCACGCCGAAGACCCGGGTTCGATTCCCGACATGGGCACAATGTGTGAAGCCAATTTCTGGTGTCCCCCGCCGTGATATTGCTGGAATATTGCTAAAAGCGGCGTAAAACCTCACTCACCCCGGGAACCTATCACACAACACGTATTTCAGATGTGCCATGGAGTGTCAGTTTAATACAAATAACAAACTCTAATCGCCTCAGGTCGAAGGTACATTTATGAAAGCTAAACTCCAGTTAAAAACTGCCAAGAAGCGCTTGTGAGAACTCTTGGTTATGCTAGACATATCAGGTGAGGTGAAATGGGGTTTAACGTCGCCTCCAAGATTACTGCCCTATATAGCGACGTGCATGTACGTGTGTACCAGACCGGATTTGTAGTGCTAGCTCACTGAGATACCATGCCGCAGTTTAACATGAATATCCCCCTAAGACACAGTAATGACTCAGAGCCGACCAGTCCTTGTTTTAGCCCCTTAATGCCGAGCGCAAGACAGGGTAACAACAAGTACCATCTTTTAACGTCTTTTGGTATGACGAGGCTTGGGATCGAACCCCGGACCTTCCGCACTCCAGGCGGACGCTCTACCACTAGACCACGGAGGCGTATTCAGTTGAATGTTTCCACGTCCTGTGTGCTTCGTGTGTTAGGTGGCAGAGAGTTCCATAAAATAATATCACGTTTTGCAAAGGAACGATTCCAAACATGCTCGTCTTGGTTGATGGTATATCCAGGAGACGGCTATCACTGCATCGTAGGGGGCGGATATGCCTGGATCGATTCTTTGAGGAACGGTAGTCCTTGATCATTCTGCACCCGATGCAAAAGATTAACACTCATATATCTAATATAATCCCGTCTGAGAATAATTATATCCAGTGCAAATCGCTTTGTTTCTTTTATATAGCCCGTGACCATGTGTGGGTATTGTAAGAATAACATTCAGGAGAAAAGGGGCGGTCGGGTAGCCTACTGGTTAAAGCGTTCGCTCGTCACGCCGAAGACCCGGGTTCGATTCCCGACATGGGTACAATGTGTGAAGCCCATTTCTGGTGTCCCCCGCCGTGATATTGCTGGAATATTGCTAAAAGCGGCGTAAAACCATACTCACTCACTCAGGAGCAAAACATTGATATGTGAGGCTTTAACACATACATCAAGTGCAAATACATAAACAAGGTTGAATAAGACAAATTAGTGATTGATAGTAGGAGCACCACAGGAAGGAAGTATGATGTGACCTTGGTATGTAGGATGTCGAACATGGGCATATGCTGACAATACCAAAAGGGCTGAGAATGCTGACAACAGTGACTAACAGCTGCCGAACAAATTGTCTGTAACTATGTCACACTGATTGTATGCTTTAACTAAATTAAAAAAATGGACGACCATTAAATAAAGCGAGAAAACCCTTTGTATATTAAATAAAAATCTCTGCATAAAGCAGAGTCGATTGTACGATTCCGACCGCATCACGAGCATGTGTTTATGAATCACTATCAAATAGTAATGATACCAGGTGTTCGCGAAAAGGCATGCAAAGGTCAATTGTTCATCTGAAAAAAAACATGGAAACATATGGTACAAGTGAAAAAAGGGAATTGCATCGGACATCATTTTTGTCATTGATGCGACAAATTTAGATAGGTCCTCCATATGTCTACCATAAAACTTTTTGAAAGCTTTACTGAGGCCTTGAATGTTGTAACCTTGATCAAACAACTTCTGAGCAAGACTCGTATGACGCTTTTTGAAATCTTGGTAGAAACAGCATGCTCGATTGTATCTCAAAAGTTGTGAAATGGAGTGAGTGAGTTTGGTTTTACTCCGCTTTTAGCAATATTCCAGCAATATCACGGCGGGGGACACCCGAAATCGGCTTCACACATTGAACCCATGTCGGGATTCGAACCCGGGTCTTCGGCGTGACGAGCGAACGCTTTAACCACCAGGCTACCCGACCGCCCCTTGTGAAATGGAAACACCAAAGGCTGGAGCTGCTGGAATATTGCTTGACATGAAGGGAAAAACGATGAAAAGTTCCAGAATGAAGGTGGAGGAAAAGCAACCCCAAACACCATCCCATGCACGTGCAATACATGACACGTAACAGTCAATGTGAATATAAAATAATTAATTCCAGATGCAAATAAACTGCACTCTTGGACGTTGACAAAGCAACGTTTTATTTCTGTTCATCTCCGTGACCCTAGAAGTGGGACATACCTGGGGCTTTCCGCCAGCCTTCTTCATACACTCGTCTTTATAGTAGTTAAAGAACTTGAACTGATCAGTATTAGACCGCACGTTCCATGACCCAGCTGTGATGGGCGTGGTCGGATCTACGTTTCGGATAGCGTCAGCTTGTCGGGAAATAAATCTGGAATAAGGGAAAACATGAACACGTCTTTGTTACATTTCTCAATCATCGCGATACTTCACCATGGGTACAGTGTGTTCCCTTGAACATTGAACGTCTGTCTCAAAGTCCATGAACCATATTCCCCCCTTCCCTAACTCTTAGTATAGTGTCACAGTCCGAAATGAAGCAAGTCTAGATTTTACCCAGATTCAGGCATCTGCTTTCAAATTAAATGGAATTCTTTCTTTCTATGGGAATTTTATATTTTCCGAGACTGAACGTTTGTCTTGTATTCACGTCTGATGGAGATCGTGTTGACGATGTACCTCAGGAAACTGGATGTTACTGATATATGAAATGATCTTGAACAATACGTCGTCGATGATATCAGTATTATACAGTTTTTTTGTTAGTCACACGGCCCGGTTATTAGCGGCATATCCTCGGGTTTCTAAAAAGAACTCTTGGCCCTAAAACGTATCTCGAATCCAGTCACTGTGACGATATTTAAGCTTGACCCCTGCGGCCTACAATAATGCGAGGCAACCGATGTTTGATATCATGAGTAACACCGGGTACGTCGTACAATAAGTCTGATATTTTGATGTAAACATCTCCTCCTTGTTTACAGTGGCTGACATTTCAACCATGGGGGCTTACATGATACCGAAACTAGTCCTTAATGACAGGAGGCATCTTCCCGAGGCAAGAGAGTTAACTGACTGTAAAAGTCCAAGTTCCACCCTTGCCGAACTGGACTGGAATTTCTGAGCTTGATCATAGTGCCATCAGACGCTATTAGGAGTTATGTCCCTTCTATGTCCCCCCTATTGACCAATCAGATTCCACATCTCATATCACTTGCATTTGCCTCAAACAAAAAGGCGGTGCCCAGTCAGGACGATCTGATCGATAATCAATATCTATATTGTAATAAAACGGGTTCTTACTTCGCAAAGTGCATCAAATCACGTAAGCACCTTGATTGCACTCAAGAAAAGATTTGGAAAATATCTGTTGACGCCGAATTGGCGGTACACATGCAAATCCTGCAATCGACCGCATTTTCCACGTCATTTTACGAACCGGCTGTCGATTTCGTCACGCGATATTCATTGGACAACACATAGACTTAGTCCAGACAAAATTTAACTCCATAAATTCTAGTTCGACAAGGGCGGAAACTGGACCTTTACAGTCAGTTAACTCCCTTGCCTCGGCAAGATGGTCCTATGTTGAATGAATGCACCTAGGCCCACTTGCACAAACTCATCTTAGCGCTTCGACTAATTTAGCACTGATATTGCTTTGCGCAAGTGGATTCATATCGTGTTAGTATTCGACTGTTATCGATTGATATGTCAGTGAGTTTAAAGTAAACATGACATTGTTTGATCCACATAGCAAAGTATTTGAATGAAGAACATCTACCTCTGAATCTCCAAAGGGGCATCACACTCGCAGCTACAATCTGAATCGGTTAGCACCCGTGAAAATCCGGGTTAGAATGGGTTTTCAATAACCCATGTTTGGTGTAAAAGGTGACTATGTCGTAAGAGGCGACTAACGAGATTTGGTGGTAATGCTCGCTGACTTGGTTGAAGCATGTCATCGTACCCCATATGCGTGGATCGATGTTCATGATATCAATCACTGGATAGTCTAGTTCAGATTCGAATATTTACAGACCACCGTCATATAGCTGGGATATTGCTGAGTGCGGCGTTAAACAACAAACAAACGAAAAACAATCGGAAACCGTTATACCACCGTTATCATGTTTACCCTCTCGTATCACTCCTCCTGTTTGTGGGAACACAGAATAATCTAAAACATATACAGAGCTTAGAACTACCTTAAAAAGTCTTGCATGGAGAACGCCCTCTGCGCCCAACCAGCACCGGACTTGTGAAGGATATTCGTGTCGAAGCATGGCTCCGTGTTAGTCTCGTCGGGTATCAAGAGACCTTCGATCTCGTTGATGATGTCATATCCGCCCAAACCAGGTTCATCCTTGATGGCTTTAGCCAATGGGATGAGTCCATTGTCGATGTAGGACTGTAAAATGGATTCATCCTTCACCAAGCCGTCCATTTTGCTGTTATGCAGGGCACCATTCCACAGAGTCAAGAATATCACGATGTTGTATTTGGCAGCTGTTCTGAGGTACTTCTTTATATCGCTGATGAACGTTCCTTCTTTATCAAGGCTGACCACGTGACCAGAAGCGCCAAATTCGGGAGTCGTTTGTCCACTTACATGGATCCAAGTTCCTATACAAGAAACATGGAAGTCAGTGAGTGCGTTTGACGCTCATGGACTATCATGACAGTTTAAGGTATGAAGAAGACAGAGTTTGTTTGATTTGTTTGTTTGTTTGTTGTTTAACGCCGAACTCAGCCATATTCCAGCTTTATGACGGCAGTCTGTAAATAATCGAATCAGGACCACACAATCAACTGATTAACATCATGTGCATCGATCTACAGAAATGGGGTATGTTGGCATGCATCAAATTCACCGAGCCTGACCAACCGATACCGTTAGTCGCCTCTTACGACGAAAACCATGGGCTCTCACTTTGATCTTCACGGGTGGAAGAAGACGTGGAGGAAACACTGGTTACAAAATCAGACATGCCTACGAGTATGCAATTGGATACGGCGCTGACAGATTGTAGGATTCGACCAAACATCCATCCTCTGACAAGTAGTCTTTTGCCTCTGGGCTACCCGAGCCCAATAAACGAAATAAAAACAAAAAGCAATGCGGTCAGCATAACTAAATATAGGCTCTGAATAAGTATGAATCATGAAATCAATAAAATTAATATTTCGTTAATTATAAAATTATTTTTTTAAATGACTACGGGGTTCGAGTATTACGTTTCGTTGTTCTTATTAGGTTCAAATGACTTACGCCATACTTACTCATTGAGTTTCCTCCAGCTTGATGTATTTTCCTGAGGAAACATTCAAATTGAGTCTTCCTGTATTGGTATTGGTTATTCCCGAAATCGTAACCATAGGCAACCCACGCCTGATTGGCTCCCGACAGAAACACCTTTTTGTCGTTGATGTAGAAATGCTTCCCTTTGATCTGAAGCTTCCGTCCTGGCATAGAGTTGTACATACAGCGGTATCAGTGATGGATAAACTATTTGTGACACGAGTAGGATATACGGATGGAATTAAGAAGGGAATACTCCGAATTATTGCAGGAATAATTTCGTTTCAAAGCTGATTGATATAAATTAAGTATACAATCAAGAGATATTGACATTGGCTTAGAAAATAATTACCTGGGCCAGATTTGTTTAGATTTCCATAATCAATTGTTTCTGTGACTCCATCAGGGCACTTCTGAGAACTCTGTGGTGCCTGAGACGGCTTTGAACCTTGCCCGCCATTATTGTTGTTGCTGTGGGGGGCGGGCGTAGTGGGCACGGGAGTGGTGATGACGGGGTGGCTCCCCGCGGGAAACTTACATACGGGGAATGCGTTGTCGTAGGCTGCGTCACAATCTTGGTCACTCCACACGCCTTGGGAAAACTTGGCCATCATTTGGGCACATTTCTCCACTCCATTCCAGTTGTCGGGCTCACCTGAATGATTTATAAACATGACTGAGGTTGATGTAACAATCTTTCAGTTAAATCACTGCTCGCTTTTTAGACGTGGGAGAAAAGCCCCAATTGACCATACAGGCCGTTTGGTGAAACCTACGAGCATGGGGATGGTGCTTGCAAATCTTGAAACACAGTCTACACGAATACCCATGATCGTAGGTTTCTGACATACCAAAGGGAAGTAACTCACAGAAACAACTGCGGTCTGGCCTCAACAGAAAGGTCCAATCTCCTAAATGTTAGATCTTAGGCTTTACTACCTCTAAACAATGTACTGAGGACATCCAATAACAGGTCACTTCAGAGCGGCCTCTTATCCGATCAATCAGAGTGTCGATTACCAGATCGGGAAAGTAACATTCGGGATGTGTTTTCCAATCATGCAACCTCGTAATGGTTAACACGAGGTATTCCGAACTACAGTTACGTGTCTATGATAGATGGGATGAGTGAGTGAGTATGTTGTACGCCGCTTTTAGCAATATTCCAGCAATATCACGGCGGGGGACACCAGAAATGGGCTTCACACATTGTACCCATGTCGGGAATCGAACCCGGGTCTTCGGCGTGATGAGCGAACGCTTTAACCACTAGGCTACCCGACCGCCCCGATAGATGGGATGAATGGAAGATACTTTCCATAGCCCGTGGGAATTACTGCCTCTCAACCTAGGCCATCTATTAGACATTCCAACATTTTCTTTTGTTCAGTTTTCAAAATTTAAATCAATATTTTTCAAACGTAATCTGGAATGGATGTCACCAGATTAAAGACTTGTCCCGTGAGGCTTGACGAAACTGCTTTCTGATTAGCCAAAGTCGACTTCTTGTTAGTCATTTCATTGGTCGGTCAGAGAACTTGAAAGGTCGTTCTGAGATTGAGTCGTCATGAAGTGATACTGACCTGTGTGAAAGTACCAGTACTTCACGGCAGATCCATCGGTCCAGGTCCAGGAAGTACCAAGAGACAAACCAATCCAGCAGGACCCGCCAGCTGGAAATAGTCAGTTAATGAGAACTCAACCAAACTTTGATTCCCGTTAAACGCCTCTTACGACAAGCATGTGTGGCTGAAGACCAATTCCAACCCGGATCGTCACGGATAGTAGCCAATACAATCTTCATTATAACTACAACGATTAACAATTAATTGATGAATTTATATTAAACAAATATTGAGATAAGAGGAAGGAATTTGAAGTGTGAAGGAACAGAACTGTTATAAAGTCCTTGTTTGAGGGCTAATTATTTTTTTCTGTTTCGAGTAAAGGAATGATTACCTTTTCGACAAAGTTGGTTGACCTGATCATTCTCCGCCCTGCTGTGAATAGAGACAAGATGGCCGCCATACCCAGAACACACGTCTTCCGCTTGCTTAAAGGTCATTTTCACATTTACGAGTTGTACATTGAAATCTGAAAAATGATAGTATAATAAAAGTAGTGTTGCTGGTAGTAGTAGTGGTGGTGGTATTAGTATTAGTAGTAGTAGTGGTAGTAGTGGCACGTGGTTCTACGCACAGCACACAGGTCACAAATGACGTGACGTTAAGCAACGTCGGTTGCGGAGAGTAGTTGGATGGGTGACCACGTTAAGCAGCTTGGCTCCTGACAGTTTCTAGGGCTTTGGTCCTGCTCCACACTGATGCACAGGTGACACATATAGTGTCTTCCTGCCTCCAGATGTCAAACAATATCATTGTACAATACACAGAATACTCAGATATTCAAACAATCTATGAAACTGAACTGCGAAATCACTGCAGAGTAAAAAATGTATAGCAGATAGAAATAAGGAATCCATGACATTGTGTTACTTCTCGTTGGCATTGCTACATGTAAGGTGGCCGTGTTTGGTGTCCCTCGCTGTGATATTGCTAAAAGCAGCGTATAGTCACTAATCTACGTGTTCCGACAATTTCTCGAGGGCCATTTAGAATTACAAGTTTAGACACATTGTCAGTTCCTTCTATCTGATTTTCCACCTGTCAGGAAAAAAACCTTATCGGTAGAGGACGTGTATTTAGGAAGGTCAATTAGAATATCGGACAACGAAAAGGTAGATCTTCAGTTCTCCTGTGTCCGGTGGAATCTTGTAACAATTACCCCTTTGGCAAATCAGAATGGATATACTCCATAACAATTATTGAAACAGCGGAAATAAATGTATATGAAATATCATCTAACTTGCTTAAACGATACTACCTCCGGGGTTCGTTGATCCCGTGTTGGAGGTCGTTAGTTCAGGGGCGGTCAAGGTCACGTTACTGTCCTTGACCCTGCAGATGGGGTAGGCGTGGTCGTAGCTGGCGTCACAGTCCTGGTCACTCCATGTTCCCAGGCTGTACTTCAAGAGGAGCTGGACACATCCCTCTACGTGGTTCCAGTTGTCAGGTTCACCTACCATCAACAAGGTCAAAGGTCAAGGCAACAGTGTTAAGTTAAAATCCGTTGAGAATAAACAAGGAAAGAATAAACAAGTTCCTTGTTTCTTTCCATGAGATTAATACATACACAAATTTCGTCATAATTAGTGTGACACTGCGTGTGCTGCTCAGGATCCGAAACCTCCAATTTGAAGCCGTCAATGTGTGATTTGGTATCAAGATGTAAATGTGAAATGTAGATTATGCAATGAATATAATGAGACTGGCTTTTCTAAGCAACGTGATGGTGTGGCTCGATCATTTTATTACCGTCTTCGCCGTGCATGTGGTTATGACTCAGAGGTCGATCCGTGGTACACGTACGACCTCGAATATGTAGAGGGAATTCTTTGGAATAGGCCCGTAAACATCCTCAGACCTATCCAGGCCAACAAACCTGATCTTGTCCTTTTTTGATAAATCCAATTAAATCATTTATATCATTGAATTTGCAGTCCCCTTTGACACTAAAGTGATTGACAAAATTGAGGAAAACATGGCAAATATGCAGACCTCGCTTTCAAAATCACCCGCTTGCATCCCAAGTACCAAGTTGTCCGACTCCCCATTGTTCTCGGTGCCTTAGGTTTGGTACCTCCCGATCTGTTGACTGACATCGGGAGAGTACGCGGATTTGCTACCAGGAATACAGCCCTTATGACAATCTGGGTAATGCAGAAGGCGGCAGTGTTGGGGAGTCGTCATATTCTCAGAAAAGTTTGACTAGGCAGCGCTTCCTAGGAGAAGTCCCATTCGCTGTCTGGACTGCGTGTAGAGAGGGCAAGGACCCTGAGCTGATGATGAACTTTACCAGCCTGGCTGTGCCAGGTTCACATGTTTTATTTTAATCTGTAAATAATAATAACAACAACAACAACATCAACAACAACATCAATAATAATAATAATAGTAATAATAACTTGTTTTGCTCATCATTTAAGATTAAGAAGATCTGTGCAGATATATGCAGTGATTGGTACTCTTCCGCCTAACTGTATCTATGAGATAAGCACGTGTATACAATCCTCTTATTAGGGCCTGGTAAGAACATGGCCTCTTTTATATCTGGGTATAGATAAACACCTGTGCTCTTACCACAGACAGACATTTCTAAAAGGTCTCACGGTGCTGTTTACATGCATTCCGAAAAAGAAAGATAACTCCTTCATTCATGTCCAGGTCATAAGACAAGGCCGCCGTTTTCTATCTACTGTAAAGTCCGTCTAGACTGATCTGAACTTTGTGTATACTCAGGCCGTACAAAATTATTTCAACAACATAATACATATGTAAATATAGAATAGATACAAAAACATCTTTGCCATGCATGCATATTTATACAGATTTACTATGGTAGCAATATATGTGCAATTCAACAAGAGGGAGAGTTATTTGATAGGTTTAAACAATGACATGATGGTTTTACAGAATTTTGAGTTTTCTCAATGTTCCTACTCGTAAATTATTAAAAAGTAAATTCATTTTATGCATATTGGGTTTGATGTAGTAGAATCTGTTTTAAAAAAAAAATTCTTTCGTCTTCTAAAGATGTACAAAATAACAGATAAAGTTGGTATCTCCTTTCGGTTAAAGGTATTTTCTCCATCTCCCAGTGTCAATAGGTAGATTATGATTACAAGTTCTGAACTTAAGCCTAGCCAAGCGTTTTCTTGCAGAACGTTTAAATAATATTAAAAATTTAGGCAATCATTTTTCATGATACTATATACAATGTGCCTTTGGAAGACTTACCCCTTGCACTGGTCCAACACTGTAGGTTAATGTCATGTACTTTTTCATGGACTCAATGTTTTAGGTATGTAGGATTTTTGAAACTTTGTGAAAACCACATGTAGCTGAGTCCAAGTTCATCAAAAGTTCGGTTGATGTATGTTTATTTACGTTTACATTTTCCAAATAGGTCGTCATTAAACAACAACTTGTATACAAGAAAGGATAATTTAGATGATTTCTAGGAAAGTAATGTTGCCCAATAACTTACACTCATTTTGGCAATGTTTGATAGATGGAGTCTTCCAAGTTCCCCGTGTACTATGGTGCATAAACGATATTTTAGGACACGCAAATGGACACATTCTAGAGCTGAGATGTTTTCAAACCCCCATACTTCGCATCCGCAGAGAAAAACTGGCATAACCATTCTTTCAAAAAGACGCAGTTGACATTTAAGTGAAAATTTAACTTCCGTCCTTGGCATAAAACATAGAACTAAACTTTCGTTGCTTGTTCTGTACTCAACAACAAAAGTTCCTGTGACACCAATATTTTAGTGTATTTTTCAAACAAGTAAAGTTTGGTTTTCAATATTGGAGTACATGTATGGAATCAAGTCACAAAAACGGAACTGCTACAGAAAAGCACGCATTCCATGCCAAAGTTGACTTTTATGCAAGCCCCATGCGTTTCACTATCCAAGATTGGGTATAAAAAAATGTGCTTTAACGGGATTCCATATGCATTGCTTAGCATCGTGATGACAACAACCATTCAGAAAAACAACAAAATTACGCAATTATTCAACATTACGAAATGCAACGCCTGTCCGAAAATTAGCGTCTGCGAGCCATTGGTATGATGTTGCAAGACCATTTAACGTCCACAGCAACGTTGGCAACACCTCAGTTTTCACCTCAGCCACAGCGATGGACGGATTCAAGTGTACCGACGTCGAGGTGAATATTACGTCAATCATTGTGTCATGGAAGAAGATCGGTTCGGGGACGGTATGGTATGGGGTGGGTGTACAGCAAGACAGAGGACCCGTTTGATAGTGGTAGAGGGAAATCTCAATGGACAGCGCTACCGCGACGGGATCATCAGCCCTGTTGTTCTACCGTTTTTGCGTCGTCATGGCCCAGGCATTACCTTTCAACATGACAACGTAACGGCCTCATATTGCTCGACGTGTTCAAGATTCTCTTCAACAAAACAACGTGAATGTCATCCCCTGGCCGGCTCGCTCCCCTGATCTCTTACCAATCGAACACATGTCGGATGAGATGGATCGGCGCCTTCGACGTCAACCACGTGTTCCACAGACACTCCAGGAACTTCGAAACATGCTCCAGCAGATATGGACAGATATCCCACAGGACTTTGTGCGACGCCTGGTCCATTCCATGAGACGAAGATGTGTTGCTTGCATCGCAACCAGAGGTGGACACGCACGCAATTGATTTGTCAGTTGACATTTTGGCATGTTCATGTTTTTTTTAATAAAATCACGCATTTTCTGAAGTCAGTATGGAAAATTGAACCATTTTGAACACTTACAGGAGTCTTTTATCTGTTGCAAACCGAAATTGTTTCAGATTTGGTGAAAACTTTGCATTAAATCTTATTCAATGCCACAGGAACTTTTGTTGTTCAGTATATTAGCTTTTTCTTTGCTAAAGTGAATTTTGAATTTATTTGAAAGATAACGCAGAGATAGTTATAGGAATCAACTTGAAAATATGAAATGGGTATAACATATGTTTTAGATCATAAGCTTCTGTGGCCAATAGCACTGAATCATCTGCGTACAGTAATACAAATATTGTGATAATATTTTTGATTCGATCATAGAATTCATCTGGTTTCAGTTGGACACCTTCACATAACTCCTGTACAAGAGATGCTTGGAGGTCATTTAAACATATTGCAAACAAGACAGGCGATAGATTTTCTCCTTGTCTTACTCCAGAAAAGAAACCCGCTAAATTACCATAACAGGAAACACATGATTTGATATTCTGGTACATATTATATATAACGTTAAAACAGTTTCCAGATATGTTGTTTTGTAATAGTTTTTGCCAAAGTCCTGATTGCCAAACTGTGTCAAATGCTTTTTGCAAATCTCCAAGCGCAAAAAAAATATTTCTTTTTCCTAGCTTTGAATTATTCCATGAGGTTATATAGAGCAAAAATGTCATCAAAGGTAGAATAACCCTTTCTGAAACCTGCCTGAGCCTCCGACAGTATGGAGTTCGATTCGATGAATGTTTGCAAACGGTTATTTTTGCAAACATTCATCGAATCTGCTGTAAAAAGTTTGCCAAAACAGCTTAGCAGGGTGATAGGTCTGTAATTTTTTACCTTTACCCTCAGTGCACTGATCGCTTCGCCCCTGAAGATCAGGTTTAGAATTGATCAGAAACCCTTGCTTGTCGTAAGAAACGACTAACGGAATCAGGTAGTCAGGCTCGCTAACTTGGTTGATGTATGTCATCGTACATCGAGGCTCGTAATGTCAATCACTGGACTTTCTGGTCCAGAGTCGCTTATTAACAGACCGCCGTCCTAGAGCTGGAATATTGCTGATTGCGGCGTTAAATAACTAACAAACAAACCGATCGCTTCGCTTGGTGTGGGTTCGAAGCCAAGATTCACCCTGGTAAGGATCGTCGGTCCGTTGACATGTGATATACATTTAAATATTTAACATTATCCATGTCCTAGGACCATGGTAGGCGGACCATGATTGATAGATAGTGGCGTTTAATGAAATAAATATCAAGTTTCATCGATGCTGGTTCATCTGGTGAGTTCGCGAAGGACGGGCAGTGACACACATCTGGCCTGTGATCAGTATAAATGGATGACTGGTGAACTTTAGAATGCACTCATTAAACCATAATTAGTATGTCATTGCATTGTCTTTTCAAATATATTTTCCTTTCAATGTTGCCTTATTTAGTTCCGGGGGCGGTCGGGTAGCCTTGTTGTTAAAGCGTTCGATCGTCACGCCGAAGACCCGGGTTCGATTCCAGACATGGGTACAATGTGTGAAGCCCATTTTTGGTGTCCCCCGCCGTGATATTGCTGGAATATCGCTAAAAGCGGCGTAAAATCATAATCACTCACTCACTATTTTGTTCCGTAGTATACATATATGGTTGGTATCGTGTGACCTTGACATTTCACTGACCTGAATGAAAATTGGTGTATGCCTGGTTTGACCCATCTATCCAGGCGAAGACGTTGCCGGACGTGCCCACACGTCGATAACCCAGCCAGCAGTCACCGTTAGCTGGACAAAGGCAACAGTATGTTTACTTAGCAAGTGTTTAAAGGGGAGGCTTAAACAAAAAAAACTTTCTGATATGAAAACATATAAATCAACTATAACTACAAATATATAATTTCTCATATCGGAAATGGCAAGCTCTGAAAACGTATGAACATTTTACGCATACTGCCATATTCATCTCCAGTACCATGCAGTAAAGAGTTGTCTCCCTTTGATTATGACGTACCAGTGTCACTCATACTAGTTTCCTGCATATTTAAAAAGGGATTCGAGTAAAAGTTTATGTTTTAGCAAACAAACATGGCCTCCAACAACGTAATATTCCTAAGGCTACTTCAAAGATTTTCAAGAAATTGTAAAAGCGAATAGCTCTTGGTACAATGTACATTAACGTGAGAGAAAGGTACTATATAGGCATTACTGCTTTGGTGAAACCCTCGAAAATAGGAATGGCGCTGAAAGACAAGGGCAAGGCTCCGTGACCAGCGGATCCTGGTATGGTTAATTATGATTCTAAGTGTGTTCGTGTGTTTAACATTTACGACCTGGGTTCTTAATGAATACACAATGCCATCTTGAAAGTGGTCAAATGTAACAAATGTTATATTAGAATAACTCTTTCTTAGTAAAGTACAGATTCTCGAAAATCACTATGCCTTATAAGTTTGTTGACTCATCAAAGGTTTGTTGACTCATCAAAGGTCGGCAAGATATATGCTTTTATTATAGATCTGCCGCTATATGCTGAAGGAATTGCAGTTTAAGATTATACGTAGTATTGTTTCGTGTAAAAAGTTGATTTTAAGCTCATAATAAGTGAAACACCAGATTATGATGTTTGCGAAACAGAAGATGATATGATCCATTATTTTTTTGGCTGCAGTAATGTTGCTGAAATGATGAAAATAGTATGAAACATTCCTTGATGAGTATACAAAACAACGTCTTTCAATCAATTAATAATTGTGTTTTTTAATTAGATAATATTGAGCCTGTATTTGAATTTCTGAACCTTCGTGTAAAATATTTTATATATTAGTCTCTGAATACACAATGCCATTTAGAAAGTGGTCAAATGTAACAAACGTTATATTAAGATAACACTTTTTTAGTACAGAGTGTTGTATTTTGGGGGGTTGAGTCCCGTCCGGGATTCGAACCCACACCGCCAGAGTGAGGTACAATGTACCTGATCGCCAGCACACAAATTACGAGAATCTGTACTTTACTCATAAAGTGTTATCTTAATAGAGGGGCGGTCGGGTAGCCTAGTGGTTAAAGCGTTAGCTCGTCACGCCGAAGACCCGGGTTCGATTCCCGACATGGGTACAATGTGTGAAGCTCATTTCTGGTGTCCCCCGCCGTGATATTGCTGGAATATTGCTAAAAGCGGCGTAAAACCATACTCACTCACTCACTCACTCACTCACTCACTCACTATCTTAATAGAACATTTGACATTGCACCACTCTCTAAATGACATTCTGTGTTCATAGCTTTCGGCCATGGGAGTCGTGCCAATTTACACTTGTCAGAGGGGTACACAAAGTATGTGACCAGTTGCCGGACTTTCATTTTGTGGAAGCCTCGGTGGTTGAGTGGGTTAGATTGCTGACTCTGTGTGTTGGCGAGGTGCCTCACTCTAGCTGTGTAGGTTCCGGATGGGACTCAACCAAACCAAGTACGAGAATTTGTACTTTGCTAAGTGTTATCCCACATATGACATTTTCTTAGTTGCTTATGTTAGTGAGTGCGTTTGGTTTAACGCCGTTTAACAGTTAACAGGTAACAGGTTACAGCATGTCGGTTATACCACGGCGTGTCAGCTTGATATGGGAGGAGACCCGGCGTGATGCAGGTCTTAGACGTTTACCAAAAGGATGAACCCATGAGCAGGTGTGGCGCTGACAAACAACGAAACATTATCAGCGAGATCCCACGATCATAGATGTCGGGCACAAGCTCCTCACAGCAATGGCCCGTTCGCGGAGCTCTCTATACTATCGCTGCCACCAGTCATAACTCCCCACTGTGATAGGTGGCCACAACCATGCTTGGAGTTGGAACTCGCAACCGAATGACCGTCATGTTTACAAACAAGTGACGACTGTCGTGACGCTGAATACCCTTATCGCTGCTAAATTACTTTCTTTGTTTGTCAATTTGAATTCTGTTTCTTTAAATCTATCGTGTTATTGATTCAATAAAAATGTAAGGGAGAAGTTGGTTGATTTTCCGTTTGTCTGCAATCTCGAACCAATCTGATTATTAAAACAACAAAGTAAATTCATCTGGAAAACATGGTCAGTCGTAAACCTTTTCAAAATGAAATATGATGGCATTCCCAAAGACTAAATTAAAGTATAAACGTTACTACATTTGGGGTTAGCGGGCAAATTTCAAGATTCTTGTAATGGCCGCGCCCACACTGGTGGCAGCGATGTTACCGTGAGTGTGACGAAGGTGTCACGCGCTGGGAAGGAGCTTGATTTCGGGCATACTCAAGGGACGCAACTCTGCACAGCGAATAACGCCGCCTTAGAGGACTGGGCCACCCGTGCCGCCGCGCCACTTATGGCTTTGTTTCCACATTCCACATTCCACATTCGAGATTCGTGATTCGAAATTGAAGTATTACAAACACAAGTGAAACTCTGAGCGTCATAATTGTTTTCGTGGCCATTTGTGTTTTCTTTTTCGACGTGGGGCGTTAGGGTAGCCTAGTGGTTAAAGCCTGTGTTCGTCACGCCGAAGACCCGGGTTCGATTCCTGACATGCGAACAATGCGTGAAGCCCATGGCCATTTCTGGTGTCCCCCGCCGTGATTTTGCTGGAATATTGCGAAAAAACCATGCTCACTCACTCTTCCTCGATGTCACATGCATACCATTTAGAATATATTTATAATAAGAAAACACGTGCACTCATAGGCACACGTGTATACACACTCACGCATGGACGCATGCGCGCACGCACGCACACATTGATGTGTCGACTTTGAAAGACAAGCAACTTACTCAGATCACACAGTCTGTGAGCCAGGTCATTCTCGACATCGCTGTGTATGGACGCCAGATGACCACCCAAAGCCTTGCACCTGTTCTCCGCGGCATCAAAGGTCACCCTGGCTCGGACGATGGTGAGGTGATCAGCTGAAACTCATTGGTTTGCATGTGTCTTAATAGTAGTGGAAAAAGCAAAGCACAAAGAAAATGTATTTCAATTGAATTATTCGCAGAAATATGGAATACTGTAAGGGTCATTCTCGCGATCTCGGCCTTTGGAAACGACCTAAATATGTCCAGAACGCGAGAACGCGAGTTCGCGAGAAAATGTAATGTCGCGTTCTCGCGATTTCGTGTTTTTGTAACCTAACTTGACAAGTCGAGATTGCGAGATTGCGAGATTTTACATCATGTCAAAATGTCGCTTTCTCGCGTTGTCGACTTTTGACAACGTAATATGTACCAAAAACACGGGAATGCGAGGTCGCTAGAACGCGACATTTTGGCAAAATCTCGCGTTCTCATGTTTTGGACATATTAAGCTCGTTTCGAGATAGAGATCGCGAGAATACGAGATTGTGAGAATGTCCCTTACAGTATTCCATACAGAAACTGTCAATTCAAAATATAAAAAGTGTACAAAAATCGCATTGATAGAACACTGTCAAATTGGATCTCAAATGTCAGCAAGGTTATGTGAGACTATGAATGCTTCACAGTGTCATGCTGTATATCAAAACAAAACTCACTCCGTCAGCCTTTTACAAATATGAAGCTTGCCAATGTCAGATATATACATATCGAGAAAGTAAAGCAATTAAATTTTAATAAATATAACACCAAATCATTCAAACATCAGTGTTAATCAGTTGAAATCAGTTCTGTGTTGTAATTAGTGGTGGGTAGGTTTAATATTTGGCTACGCTGACTGGACGTTAAGTGGGTGGGTTGGTTGCAACGGAAGTTCATGTGGGATTACGTAACGAAGGTCTTGGTGAAACCCACGAGCACGGATATGGTGCTGACATACCAAAGACCGTTATCAGGACGAATGTAGGATTCGAACGAACGATCAGCGGGTTATTTTGCGGATAAGTGACGAATTTCTGCAAATATTTGTTCGAACCTGTGAATTCAACACACAGGAAGCGGATCCTTGCATGTCTGACGCAAGTCACATCTTTGGGAAATCTGTACTCCGTTAGTAAAAGACCAACTGACCAGACCGTGGTCCAGTGATTGAGCGTCCGCCGGGAGAGCAAAAGGTCCGGGATTCGATACCCGGCCGCGTAATACCAAGAGACGTTAAAAGATGGTACTTGTTGTCGCCCTGTCTGGCGCGCGGCATTAAGTCGAGTCGAGGTGTTTTCGACAACTCAAAAGGATTCCGGGTTGGAACAGATCTCCGGCAACACCTTCTGCCCAAAGCAGGCGACTAAATTCTAGACTCTGATCATACTCTACTTGGTTGATTGCGTGTCATCGTACCCCGACGGTGTTGCAGGTCAGTGATCATTATATCAAACACTGAACAGTCTGGACGACAATCGATTATATACCGCCGCGATAGAGCTGGAATAATGTTCATTCGGCATAAAACAACATTCAGTCAGTCACTGTATACCATTCAATACCAAATTTGTTAAAGGGTAAATTGTGGAAACTTAATAGCATCATTCAAAGTACTTCATCATCATCATCATCATCATCATCATCATCATCATCATCATAATAATAATAATAATAATAATAATAATAATAATAATAAAAATAATCATCATCATCATCATCATCATCATCATCATCATCATCTTCACGGAAATTACACATGTGTTTCGAAGCAACGCACCTGCGACTGTTCCAATAGCTAGGAGTCCGATGGAAAGAGTGAATACACGCATGGCCATCTAGATCTGCAAGATGCGTGTAACGTTGGTCATGAATTCAGTACACCTTTATATTACAAAAAAGTGCATTTGCCAATTTTCAATCCGTTTTTTTTTTCGTGTCGAAGATCAAGTCTGATATGAAACCATTCATCTATCGGTTGCAGCCTGCTTATTGTCGGACAGAATATTTGTTCATCTAGTTACATTTCCTGATGTTAAAGTGATAAGGACTACGGAACATGAGAGTTATCCGCATTTCGAGACAAACGGAAGGCAGGTATTTTGCGAATATGACCTGATGAAGGAGTACGTATATACTCCAAACATTGTGTTCCTCATGATAAAGAAGTTGACATCTATGAATTCTCATCCTCGTGTTTGTTTCATTTTTAGCCACCATCAAACATGGGTATATATACATTTTTGTGCCCGGAATAGGTTGGATACAGCTGGATATTGCTGAATAGGGCATACACAACACAACACAGAGTACGTATATTTCCAGAATGTGAATCAGTATGGTTGGGTCGATTTATTACAACTTAAAGCCATATCCAAGTTGGGAGGACCGCCTCCGTGGTCTAGTGGTAGAGCGTCCGCCCGGAGAGCGGAAGGTCCGGGGTTCGATCCCCAGCCGCGTCATACCAAACGACGTTAAAAGATGGTACTTGTTGTTACCCTGTCTGGCGCTCGGCATTAAGGGGCTAAAACAAGGACTGGTCGGCTCGGAGTCAGTATACTGTGTCTGAGTGGGGTATACATGTTAAACTGCGGCATGCTATCTCAGTGTGCTAGCACTATAAATTGGCATCAGTCCGGACTAGTACAAGCAGCCACACACACACACACACACACACACACACACACACACGTGCATGTACGTCGCTGTATAAGTGCAATATTCTTGGACGCGACGTTAAACCCCATTTCACCTCACCTCAACTCCCAGTTGGGGGACCCGAAGGTGACGGCCGACCACTCTATCCACTGGGCTACCCAATCGCGCCATATAAACTACACGGAGAATGTCATTGTTCAGAATCGACAAAGCGCGCTGATACATCTTACCTTCTCGATACCTTTGACCAAACACTGGTGCCTGCAAACCTGACTCTAATATATGTATGTCTTATCTATCTGGGGGCTATTACTTAACATCTATAATTTATATCTTATCTATCCAGCAGCCCCAAAATAGAACAAGCACGTTACACAACACCCGTAATCTGTGTTTAATTTTGGACACATTATCTGTTACCATACACAAAACAGTAGCCACGAGAATGTCTTCCTTTTTAGACTGAAACGTAAGTGAGTGAGTGAGTGAGTATGGTTTTACGCCGCTTTTAGCAATATTCCAGCAATATCACGGCGGGGGACACCAGAAATGGGCTTCACACATTGTACCCATGTCGGGAATCGAACCCGGGTCTTCGGCGTGACGAGCGAACGCTTTAACCACTAGGCTACCCGACCGCCCCCTGAAACGTAAGACATATAGACTTGCCAAAGCATTGTAGTCTTGCTTGTTTTTTTCCGGATAGTTTTGTTCCAGGGTCTGTATGAGTGACCAGCGGAACGATTGTCCCTATGTTTTCTTGAGAAGTAGCAAGCAGATACGAAAGATTATTTATACTGACATTAATAATATTCTAAAATGTAGTTAATGCTACCCTTTATAGAATGGAAACTCATCAATAACCACCGTTATTGTTGATGAAGACAGTGAAGTATACAGTAACATTTTACAGAAATTGGATACTTCTTCGTCTGATTGTCCTACCATTTCTACAACAGCTCCCACGTGGTGTCCTTAATCACCATGACAACGCAAGACGTCATACAGCCCGAATCGTACAGAACATCCTTGCAGCCAACAACGTCAACGTGTTGCCGTGGCCTGCGCGCTTCCCCAGACACGTCCCCGATAGAACACCTCTCGGATTTATGTTCGACAACGACCACATCCTCCAGACAACCGACAAGAACTTATCTAGACCCCCCGAGAACAATCGCGACGTATCCCACGTGACGTCTGATTTTTTTCTGTGCGCCGGAGAGTTTTTGCGTGTCGTGCAACAGTGGGTCGTCATACGCACTATTAATGTGTCGTCTCACTGAACTTAAGCGATTTTAGATGTGTGTGCCCTTATGAGCCCATTACGTTGAAATCTTGTTTTTGCGACCCCACCTAAATTCTGGCAACTGCCATGCCAATATCAGATGCTGTATGGTGATTTCGTTGGGATTTTGATCTTCTCAAGACATTGTACTTCATGCATCTATATTGTGTGGGTTTTTTAAAATACTTAGAGTGATTTAAAACTATGGAAAAGTGTCCATTGGCCGTCAGTTCACATCACAATCGAAAAACTATTGTATGGGTACTGTGTTTACGTCATTATAAGAAAGGGCGCCTTAAAATGTATACAATTGATTCGTGTTATATCAAGGCATTCAGAAAGATGACGCAAGTATGAGACGTACCAAATTGGTGACAACACGACCACGGGTGGTACCAGAAACATTATCAGCGCGAACCGGAATTCGATCCCACAACTGTACGTTCCTGGCACGCCTAAGGTTCGCAATTCTGCACAGGACCCTCAAAGGTCTGGGCCACACTTGTTCACATTCGACATTGTCGCAATCTAACACGCTAGTGCTGGCCAATGACAGCTCGACAACTAGAAATGCCAGAGCACGCTGAAGCTCGATTGACAATGTCAGTGACAATGTCAATCTAGCAAAGGAAGGAGCTTGATGAAATCGTTCGCACGCAGTAAATTCCGATGTCAAACACCGACCGATTCCCGACGGAAAACCGACGGTTAGAAAGCGTCTAAAAAATGTCGCTTTTCAGCCCAATGCCCATATAAAAAAACGACGTTTTTGTGTTTGCAGTGTTAGAAATCCTGCTAGTTTTGACCCTTAGGTGAAACTTTAATCCTCCAAAAATTGCTTTCCACATCCAAATGTATTTACTTTATCGTGGCACACACGCATACCGTTTTAAATGAGTTGATAATGGGGAAACACACACGCACACATACACACCCAAGCAAGCAGGCATAGGCACACATACACACATGGTCATGGATAAACAGACAGATTAACAGGTGTATTCAGTGTTATCGCCATATGGCCTAACGTACAACTGATACTCACTCATGACATATAGCCACTTGAATATAGAGAAATTACATCTTCTGGAATCTTATATTAAAAGCGTGTGTTGTATGACTAGCTACTGAAAGGATAACATGTTTAATGTGTGAGTGGATAACATATGTCAGTAACATTTCAGATTCATGGCCGGTATTCAAGAAAGAAAGATGTGGAGATCTTAACTTGGAATACATGTTACACTTTACATAAGACGTGGAATTCACTATTAACATCATCAATATCTTTAGATTTACGACACATATTTACATTGAATTTTAATGAAATACAGATAAATACATTTCAGGTTGAAGATGTGACTTTTATTTACTATAATGTCTAAGATAACGGGAAGAAGAAACAGTTTCATACCAGCTTTGTGCAAAGATATCTTTCACTCGCCGCTTAAATATTGCCATAAGCACTTGAATGGTACCAATATCCCGTACCATCCACAGAAACGAAAAACCACATGTAAATTATAGACTCCTTACTTCCGATACCCAGTGATGTTTACTGTTTGTTCGTAGCATCCAAATGGTTCAACAATTTATAACATTGAAACTGATATCTGCATGTTTCCAATCTTAGTAACTTTATCCAGTATTTAACTCCCTTTACTTGGCTATGCACAAACATATTGCAGCGTCTAGTTTCAACAAGAATTGCTTTATTTGACGCATAATTACCTATAGAAGAAGGTAGGTACTTTTTCGATGGCAGCACATTTTTTGTTCTCTATATTTCGGAACCATATAGGAGTATAGGTGCAAGTTTTCAGTTAAAGATGCTACGTGCAGTTAATATGATATATACTTGTTTTGTTTGAATCATTTGCAAGTTGATGACAAGCTACTGATCACCTTAAAAGAGATGAAGACATGATACCCAAATATTTATAGCAAGTTACAACCTTGACCGAAGCATTTTCCATAAGTCGACTTGAAAACATAACAATATCATCAGCAAACAACAGGATAATAATATCAACAATATATTGATTCACAAATATACTATAATTAAATTGGTTATGAATTTCAATAACACGTTCATTAATAAAGAAAATGAACACACCAGGACAAAACAAATGCATCCTTTTCTTACACCTCTTGACGTTGAAAAACAGTTGTTTTTTTAGTTGTCAGTCATTGTACATGCTTTTACTGACAAATACATCACTTTGCAGAACATGAAATAATTTCCTATGACAACCCTTGATTACAAGTAAATACAATAACTTTCTCCTATCCAGTAGATATATATCGAAGCCTTTCTTGAAATCAACGAAAGCACAGTATAAACGACCCTTTGATTTGCATAATTATATATTTCCAGCATAACGACTGTAAAAGGAACATATTATCAATGGTAGAATAATTCCGGTATAAAATCATAAATTTCCGTACATGTTCTCGACATTTTTCTAACACAAAAGCAAACATTACGTCTTGCACCTGGTCTCAGGGACGTCAAAGATCACTATGGCTCGGTCACTTGAGGCCAGATAATTACCTGGTGATCAACTAAGTGTCCCCTTATCCATTTCCATCGGTATACAGTAAACTACGGTTATAACGAACTCAAAGGGACTACAAATTTTAGTTCGTAATAACCGTAGTTCGTTATAAGCATACAGAAAACTACGGTTATAACGAACTCAAAGGGACTACAAATTTTAGTTCGTAATAACCGTAGTTCGTTATAAGCATACAGTAAACTATGGTTATAACGAACTCAAAGGGACTACTAATTTTAGTTCGTTATAACCGTAATTCGTTATAAGCATATATACAGCATAACTACAGCATATAGTCGGGACTAAAAAGTTAGTTCGTTATATCCATTAGTTCGTTATAAGCGTGTTCGTTATAACCGTAGTATCTGTATTTTGTTCAAAATCCGCGATGACGGCGTACAGGAAGAACGTGTACACCGTATTCATACAATCGTGGAATTCTTACTTTTTCTTTAAATATTAAATGGGTGAATATTGTTTTACGCCGAGGTCGGCATTACCCCCAGCGGGTCGGCAACAATCGACTGTTGGTCAGTAAGTGCACTCTTTCTTCGTACGATGACTCGCAGTTAAACCGAAAAATAAAAAAGGGTAAACTATTCATATTGTCATTGATTGTCCAGAAAATGATCCTGTAAGTCAATTTGACTAGTTGCCTTGTCAAATTGACTTTCAGGGCAGTGCCTCTACTTCGAACATTAAAGGCAACATGGTTTGACGGCCAATTACACAAATTAATCAGTGATCGGGCGTACCTGACGTAAACAACAATTGACCAACTTGAGGATAATATTTTTATAAATTATTACTGAATGTTATTTGCCAAATTTAAATTACAAGACGCACATCTTTTTCTGTCTCCGATTATCGTTCGTTTTCTGCAAGCACTTCATCTAAACTCACTCCTAGCATCAACTGTATCTTGATCATCATTAACAAACCGGTGAAACGGTACTGCTTTAATGGTTCGCCTTATAGTTTGTAGTGGAGCCTATCGTTACGCTCAACCAAATGTTTTCCAACAGACTCCAAGAGTAATGTTATATTTTTTTCAACAATTATTGGGCGTTCAACAGGTATTTAATATACATGTGGGAACAAGCTGGACAAAAAACATAATTTATCTATCCTCCTCAGCACGAGGGGCGGTCGGGTAGCTTTGTGGTTATACCGTTCGCTCGCCACGCCGAAGACCCGGGTTCGATTCCCGACGTGGGTACAATGTGTGAATCCCATTTCTGGTGTCCCCCGCCGTGATATTGCTGGACTATTGCTAAAAGCGGCGTAAAATCATACTCACTCACTCACTCCTCAGCACGAGGGGCGGTCGGGTAGCTTTGTGGTTATACCGTTCGCTCGCCACGCCGAAGACCCGGGTTCGATTCCCGACGTGGGTACAATGTGTGAATCCCATTTCTGGTGTCCCCCGCCGTGATATTGCTGGACTATTGCTAAAAGCG